TACAGTAGTCAATTCTGTTATGCTGACAGAGATGATTGTTATGCTATGATAAAAGTTGTGAAATATCAGACACAAATCATAAATTCATAATGCAGTTCTATGATGTCGTACCACATGAAAGAACGAAATATAAACCAGAGAACTATATGCAATATATATGAACTCTTATCACCAGTCCAAGAAAGACATTTGAATCACTACCAAGCAAAAAAATCATTTTTATATGTGGAAATATCTACTCTTTACTTGAAGAAGGTTGCACCAGAAATGTGCGTAGCAGGATTATGGAAAATAGAATATAATATATATTTTAAAATAAAAATCCACATTTCAACCAAAAATGTTTACAGTTTATCTTCTTTTCAATATAATATATATCTTATTTATTTATTTAAATTAATAATTTATTCTTCAACTGTCTTAAAATACAGGATGTCCCTAAAGTCTGGACAGATAGAAAATCTCATTAAATATATATTTTTTGCCTCCACATATTAAACATGGTTTTGCTGAAAGAAAAAATTGACTTCTTTTTCTGGGGTATGCTAAAGGAGAAAGTGTACTCAATGAAAATTACAAATGCAACATACTTAATTGAACACATAAAAAGTAAATGTGCTAAAACTGATGGCAAGGTGGAGTTATTGCATTGAGTTCATGTGAATCTTGAAAAGTGCATCAATCTTTGCATCACAAATGTTGGAAATCATATTGAAGATGTTATTTGTCAATATTCCAATTCTATAAAATGTTGTTGAAAATTTCATTTCTTGAAAATATGCATTTTTGCCTAGAGTGCCCAGACTTTACGGATACCCTGTATAATAATTTTGTATGTCAAAGATTTAAAATAACACTACACAAAAATATCCATGAAAGGGATGTTATTGCTTTTTTTTTTCTAATGAAAAGACTCACCTGGTGAGGTAGAAAATGGCTTCTTCACAAGCATCAAGTACACGGCAGTCAAGAAACCTTGAGAGAAATGATTTTGCTTGCAGTAGTAATGTTTCTCCAATTCCTAGAACACAAAAGTTGGATGATAAATAAATTTAAAGATTAAATCAAAAATTTAAATAAGTGAAATCAGATTTTAAAAATTCACATTAATTCCAAAATCCACTCAATCACTGAACTATAAATACACATTAAAATGTAAATTCAAAAGACCAGCTCATCAAATTTTGAATTAAATAATGTCTGTGTATTAGTTTTTGTTTATTATAATTATAATTTTATCAGAGTACTTGTAAAATCTGTAATAGTAAAAATATTTTGTAAGTATTATCTTCTTGACTCTGTGAAGAGACAAGACAGAAAAAATCATGTTGAATCATTTCTTGAATATATTGCAGCTGTTTGAAAAATGTTGAAGGATTTCTCTCCCAAAATAAAAAAAAAAAAAAAATAGATTTTCATCATGAAATGCATGCAGCAACAGATTTTTCTATTTTGACAACAAATGCTTAAATATCCAGGCTGGAGAAGCTGATACAATTATATCGACTTCATGATAGCCTGTCTGACATGAACACTGTCTTACTTAATAAGCTTTAAAAAAAAAAAAAAAAGCATGAAAATTTCAATCATATATTACGCTATATTCTTCATTTTCCAATTTTTACTCCACACCATATTGTTTGTTTACACTGTGTAGCACTAGCAGTAAACCTTCTGTTATCCAAATTTCTTAGTTGAAGCATTCTGAAAATGAACAGAGTCATTAGATCTTCCATTCTCTGATCAAAAAACATTAGTCACACTTACCTTTCAGTGCAGGAACATAATAAGGCTCCTTCTCAAGTATGAGTTTATATTCAGGAACCGATTCTGAGAATAATCCAAGAGTCTGTTTAATAGATGCAATCCTGAAATTTAAAAACAAAAACAAAAGTGCAAAAAAAAAAAAAATAGATATTTACAGACAGTTTTGAATTCTGAGAATAATCGTTATCATTCCATAAGTTGTTCAAATTAGCAAATTCACTGTTTATGCTGCTTTCTTTGTAAACACATTTCAGACATATGTATGAGGGAATGCTGAACAACATTCACTCTAACCAGAAACCTACAAAATTCTAACTGACCCTTTGGAAAGAATTTGGGAAAATGCTTGTGCTAAGAATTCTTTAAGAGACCCACTTAAGTTAAGCCAGTATGACTATGTGCTTTCTTTGTTCAGAGAGCATTCCCATCTAGGATATGGAATCCCCTACTCTATTTCCCAAAATATAATTTTTCAGTCATGATTTAATCACTTATAAATAAAATGTATTTAATTCTGGAATAATAAGAGGACTCGTGTCAAACATTTGGAGAGAAAAAAAAGATGCAAATTATGATGAGAAATAAGGCATGTTACACAGATGGTGAAAATTATATTATCTGTATGGGCCATGTTGCTGGTAAAAAAAAGTAACCCTATCAGGATATCTGTTCTTCTGTTTATCCACATTCATTTTGTAAAATAAAAAAAATAAAAAATAAATTCATTCTTTCAATGCATCTAAAGTTGTTGACATTAATAGCATCACAAAAAATTAATTCAATAGCCTGAACGATTCATGGAAAGATGTTTTTGTGCTTCTCAACACCATAAAAATGATGTTAGACTTGCAAACAAGAATACTACTTAAATATATATATATATATATATATATATATATATATATATATATATATATATTGATTAAGCCATTATTAAAAAATGATGTTAGACTTGCAAATAAAAGCATACTACTCATATGACCTGGCTATATATATATATATATATATATATATATGTATATATATTAAATATGTATTATTAAAACTGATGTTAGACTTGCAAACAAAAGAATACTACTCACATGTATTGGCTGTATATGGATTGAGGATCCAACTGTAAAAAAAATATATATTGTATATTATAAATGTTTGGAGTCGTTCATTTATATTTTATTATTTAAAATGTGTTAAGGGACAAAATGTAAAGAAATTTATTTTTGCCATGTATTTTACTTCTAAAGTATTTTCGCATATTTTCAGGACTTTTGTTGTTAAATAATTTTTTTTGTTATAAAGGAAATGTCTTTCATCAAAATAAAGCCTTCAGTATCAAGCAAATAAAATAAAAAAATAAAAATAAAGAATAATAAAACATAATACCATTGTTAATATCAAATTCAAAGGTGGAATATTTTTCCATTATTCCAAAGATTTTCCAGAATACTCTTTTCATCTTTGTTATTTTTAACCCAACATTTTCTTTGGTACATTTTTTTTATTTCTTCTGGTGTGTGAAGTTCTTACATGGATTATTTTCATTATTCACTACATTTTTCTAAATACTATCTTTGTCTTTATTGTTTTGATACCAATGATCGGGAAGCTGAAAAGTTCCCAGCCTAACCCACTTCCCAAAATCTCTTCAAATAACCAAACATCAGAAATCTTTTTAAGGTTTCTTGGCCTGGCCAAGGACTTTTTAGTGTCTCCCCTTCATGCATGAGTACATCACAAGGTCTATGGCCTAATGATAAAAAAGCATCATAATATAATTCCTTGTTAATGCACTTAGTTGAAAATATTAATGTAATAATATTAAATGGGGTATTAAATCACTAAGGAATATTGACAAAAGGTTTTCCATTAGAAATACATCATATGGCCACCAGTTGCATGATGGGAAGGTGAACTGGCATGAATATAGTTAAATTAATAGACTTGGGAAAGACATTTAATTACAATAAAATGAATTAGCACCTGTAATTGTAGCCAGATGAATGAGACTGGTGGCTTTGTACAGAACCTACAGATGTTGACAGGAAGATGAACTTATGACCACACAATACCAAGAATTTCTTGAAGACCATAATTGTAAATATGATGGTCAACATAAAGAAGAACTACATTATCCAGACATCAAGTAATTTCCAAGGCCACATCAAATCCATTCTCAAGGCTGAGGGTAGTTTTATTTTTCAGACTGTATATTTATGCTATTTATTCATTAATTTTTATTGGAATTGCTTGGTGAAGAAACATCGGCTAATTGCCAATCTTCTCCAATTTTATAAAATATTAATAAGGATTTCCTTATACTTGGTTCACATATGTTAATAATTTAGTAAATGTTTATAAATTTATAAATAAAAATTTGTTTTCATATTTATTTCTTTATAAATTGGTAAATGTTAAATATTGCATTTCATTAATTTTAGAATGTTGTAAATATAAAATTATTCTTGTAAATTATCTAATAAATACTGTTTAATATTTTTGTTGTAAATTCTCAAGAACAAAGAAGATGTATAAATTAACTTTCATCATATATTTAGCTTTTATTACAAAAGAATAAACACAGCTGAGGAGTGAACTTAGTTAAAATAATAGCATTGTAAAAGACAAAAAAAAAATGTCCTTTCAATACTCTGTTTTTTTTTTTGTGGGAACAAAGGTTCAAGACTAACAAAAAATGATTCAATAAAAGTACCCTAAGTCTTGAGAATAGACTTGATGTGGCCTTGGAAATGACTGTAATTCTAGATGAGGCAGTTCTTATTCCTGTTGGTCATCATATTTACAATGATGGCTTTAAACAAGCCCTTGGTATTGTGTGGTCACAACTTAATCTCCCATTCAACAACATCTGTAGTTTCTACACAAAGTCACCAGTCCCATTCATCTGGTTACTTTCAAGACGTTCACTGTCTCAGTTTTTCACTTCCTTTATCAGATTGAAAATTTCTATGAGAATGTTCAAATTTGGTGCATAACATGTAACCTTACATTTTCTATTTATAGCCTGTTTAATACTTGACACATTCTGTATAATTCCACAAGTCTTAAGGGAGAGAAGTGTGGAAAAGATTATCAAATGGAGACATATATATAATGGTCTTTGAAGACTGGGTGAATAAACACTTGATCAAATCACTTCTCTATAAATGCTTTATCTGGAAAGGAGAAAAATATATAAAAATGTAGGAAATAAAAAAAATCTATGATTAACAAATCTATTTCCTCAGATGTTGAAATACATGGATTTATTTCAAATTCATTTTCTATTTTAAGGATGGTGACTTTGTTTCAGTTCATATTTTGTGAGGGCCAAACTACACAAGATAAAATTCAAAAGAGTAACTATAAAATCATTGTCAGCAACAAAAAGAAAATAAATCAGCTAGCTATGATATCACAGGTTATATAATATAAACTATGAATAGTTAGAATCCAAATGGTACTTGTAAGCAAAAGTAATGATTGTTACAAAAAGAAAGAACAAAGAAAATGACAAAAGTTCTCACCTCTGATGCTTTTGTAAAGGCTTTCAGGGCTGCTGTGTAGCTACCACGATTAACATAGGCTTCACCCAGACATTCCCACACATGACTTTAAAGACAACACAAAAAAAAGGAAAATACACTGTTTGCACCAAAATAACATACAAAATTTTTATATGTCAAAGATTTAAGAGAACTTTTGTTCAGCATTAGTACTTGTAAGCAATTATTATTCAAAATTTAGAACTTACAACACTTTACATCTTCTCTAGCAGTACTGAGAAAACTACTTAAAAATTGGAAAAACTCAATTATATATTTGTGAATGTAAGTTTGTTCATTTGCTAATATCAATCTATAATGTCTGAACAAGTTGATCCAGAATATCATGAATAGACTGGATTTCACTTTTTGAAAATAGCTGAAATGAAATAATGCAGAAATGCTGGTGAAAATTACAGTATTTATTGTCAAAATAAATGGTGAAAAAAATGAAAATCAATTTCAGAAATACTACATATTTTCAGACTTTATATATGACCAAAGTCTCTTTAACACCGTGAAAAGAGCAATTATTCACAAACCATGTGGACCTTTAAATCTGTGCATGGAAAATGTGTAAAAAATTATCACCATTAACTAGTGAGGATTATGTGTCCCAAGATGACCTTAGTTTAAGTTTTCATAAAACTTTCATTTATAATTTTGATAAAAGTTAACTTTTCTTTTCTTTCAATTATGTATCTTTTTTACAAAGCATATATTTTGTCCCAAAGAATTATAATTCAAACACAATTAACAATTATTTTTTTCTTAAGTGGTCACCAAACTGATTGCTTCAGCAATGCAGCACATCCTTTCTAGTTTTAAATAAATGGAATCATACATACATGAAACAAAGTAACATAAATGCAGACATTTATAAATATAAAGCACGTGTTCACTGCTTTTTTTTAAAAATGTACAAAACTTGCTACACTGTTTATTTTTATAATGAAAAATATAAACCACATGTATATTTCATATTTTAAATACGTAACCCACCTACAGAAGGTAGTGAAGGAAAGTGAGAAGAAAGGACTAAACATTAATTGCAAAGACATCATTATCAGCAAAAGGAACAGCCTAACATGAAAAGTACAAATTGGAGATACCAAAATCAAACAAGTACAACAATTTAAATATTTAAGTGTTTTAACAGGGAATGGAAAGTGCAACACTGAAATCCAAAAACTTGAAGTAACAGAAATGTAGTTCTACAGAAGGATGCTGAGAATACTAGCATGTGAGCAACAAGACATATAATTAACACAAAGAGATAGTTAAAATTTCCGTGTGCACATAATGAGCACAGGGGGCTTGGAAAATTTTATATTGATATGACAGATTAAAAGCAAGAGGGACAGAGGAAAACAATGCATAATCTACCTAACATGCTTGTGTAAATGGGTGAGAGAACAGGATTTAGGAGAAATAAAAAGACAAAAATTATTATTATTATATATATATATATATATATATATATATATATATATATATACACGCACGCACACACACACACTGTTAAGTATCTGATCAAATGAAATGAAATAAATTTCCAAGGTGTTTTTATCTGCTTTACAAATTATGATTTGAAATCATAACTTAGACTAATCATACCAGAGGTTAGGTTACTTGTTACTATTTCAGGCAAAAGATATGAATGGATTGAGCTGACGGATCAACCAAACCTGACTATATAGGAATAGGCAGTGAAGAGATAGGAACAGATAGACAGGAATGGACAGAGAGAGTGAGCACAGAACAAGCAGACAAGAACGGACAGGGAGAGCGAACAGACGGGAACAGACTGGGAGAGCGAACTGACGGGAACGGACTGGGAGAGCGAACAGACGGGAACGGACACGGGGAGCGAACAGACGGGAACGGACAGGGAGAGCGAACAGACGGGAACGGACAGGGAGAGCGAACAGACGGGAACGGACAGGGAGAGCGAACAGACGGGAACAGACACGGGGAGCGAACAGACGGGAACGCACAGGGAGAGCGAACAGATGGGAACGCACAGGGAGAGCGAACAGACGGGAACGGACTGGGGGAGCAAACAGACGGGAACGGACAAAGAGAGCAAACAGCCAGGAAGCCAGGAATGAACAGGGAGAGCGAACAGACAGGAATGGATAAAAAGCAGAATCAATATTGCCATTATTTTGTATGATTTCATGAGAAAAACTATAAAATACAGTTTTACTCACTGGTCAAGTGGGTCAGGACGCAGGGCTGCCTGTAGAGCAGTGACAGCTGCATTCGGATTTTCATTTTTCAATTGATGTAGGCCCAGCCTAAGCCATGCCCATTTTGCACTGAAAAATATGAATAGGAAAAAAATAAATATGCAATTAAAAACTAAAAGCAAACTGAATATAAGGGAAATATTAATTATGACAAGAACTTTGTTGTTTAATCAAATCAACTGATATGATATTATAGAGAATCCTTACCTGCCAGGTCCTGCCTTTGCTGTAACAGACTTGAGATATTCCAAAACTTTATCCTAAAAGTAAACAAATTCATTATTTAAATATAAAATATTATAACTGCCACTTACATATATGCCACAATAACTCAACAAATGCATGGATGTAACATTGTTGTACATATTTTCTAAATTATTCTCTTCAACTTGGTTGTTTTGAATACAATGTTGGATTTGTATAAAAAGGAAAAGAAAAACATGCAATCTCTCAAGACCACCCAATACAACCTATACCTAATGGCCAAATATATTGACCAAAATGTTGTTAAAAATGAAGATAACATTGAAAGATGTGTATAAAGAGAACTTGTGAAAAGTGGATATAATAGTGCTGTGAAGTAAGTTAAATGTAAGATAAAATACTAAAACTCAAGATAGTAGACTAATATCAGATTATATAGGATAGTGATTACATGTGACTAGCATGAAGATAGATAAAAAAAAAAATATATATATATATATATATATATATATATATATATATATATATATATATGTATGTATGTATGTGTGTATAAATGATACCATTATCTATTTTGACATTTATTATATATATATATATATATATATATATATATATATATATATATATATATATATATATATATATATATTATTCTTTATTCAAAATTATAACATATGCATGTTATAACATCACTACAAAAATGCAAATTTTGTTTCAACACTACTAGTGTTTTATCAAGTGATGGTGTTGATTGCAAAATAAAAGATTTTAAGAGTTCAAAAACCAACAAAACTCCCTCAGTAGGAGAAACATTGTTACTCTGTTTTGATATTTAAATTTAACTTTAAATGAGTTATTTAATTTTTAATCGTGTGTAACTACAGTAGTTACTACCTATTACTTCAGGTTGTTTATGATTCGCTGTGATTGAAAAATAGATGGACGGACAGACACACATACACTGTGCTTTATTTATATAGATAGAAGTGTATAGTAAGGATATTAAGTAAAACTGAACAATTGAATACAATACCAAATGGGACTTACATCTCTACTGTCCATCATGATGTCACAAAAGGCAGCACCGACTTCTGCATTCTCAGAGTCAAGGTCAAAAGCTTTCTGATAACATTTTTTAGCTTTTCTTCAAAAAGAAAAAAAAAATCAAAGGTTTTAGACAAGATTTTGTTATTATTACAAAAAGTGTCATACATGATGATTACAGAACTAAAGAAACTTTTTTTTAATTATTTTAAATATTTTACATTTAGCTGGGTTATCAGAGGAAATCTATCATTCCTGGTAGAAAAAGAAAGCAATTACTTATCACTTCTGCTGTTGTAGACATACTTCTTGACAAAACTTATATTGCCTGCTGTTGACATATATTTTTTCAGAATACCATCAAATGTCAGTCACTAGCATTTTGGTTATATACAAACTAGTACTTAGTGCAATTTCCAAACCAGTGTAGACATATAATATCATACAATACAAACCATTTTTTTCTGCATTTTTCTTATATGCTGAGTGTGTCATTAAACTTAGTCTGTACTGCAAAGTATCCAATCCAAACCATAATGGTGGTATCCATAAAAAGTCACTATCTGAGCATCTTTATATTCATTTATTTCCAGTAAACAGCAATTTCCTATTTTCCCCCAAAAGCCAAGCAACAATACTATAACAATGCTGTAGTGAAAGCGCTAATCAAAAAGAAATTCAAATAGCTTAAACATGACTTCATACTTACTATGCACAATTTTTTACAGTAATGCTCGCCATGTACAAGGCTCCAAAGCCACTCAAGGTAGAGGGTTACAGAGTAAGAGGTAAAAAACACAGTTTATTAGTTTATATGGGGTAGATAACAATTAACACTAGATTGAACAGGTTAAGATTGTAGGGATCAAGGAAGCATTCTCTCAGGAGTCAATTCCACAAAGTAGCAATTCATAGGATGCTGTTAGAGTGGAACTTACATCTTACCAATAGAATACAAAGGGAACAAGGGTGGTCTGCTACAATGTGCATGGGTTTTAACTGTGAAGGTTAGAAGTGGTAGAATTGAGGAATGTAGTTCATCTGAACACTTTCCATGAAAACAGTGATAGGGTAGTGAGAGGCTACAATGTTTTGTCTGTGGGAAAGGGATTGTAGGGTTTAAAATAATTCATCACTCACAAGGGCGTGTAGACACTTTTGAACTCTATCAAGACTGGAAAGTGTAGTGAAGACTGAATAGCTCCTATCCATATATGGCAGATGTACTTCATTTTTGTCCTGATTTGGTTCTTGTAAAGAGGATAGCAAGAGTGATACAAGGACTGACCGTTTTTCCAGCATCTTTAGCAAGATGGGAGTGCCACTAGTACGCCAGAAGCTAAAGAGAGTGTAAGTAATGGAAAAGACAGTGTATAAGGGTGTTGAGGAAAGGATAAAAAGAAGAACAGGGATCAAGGCAACAGATGTCGAGTGACATTACATTTAAATTCTTGAAGATTATAGTTATCAGGGAAGCAAGTAAGAGGAAAAGAGTTCCACTGTCGGGAAGTGCGAGAAGAAGCTGTTGGAGTAGAAGAGGTGGTCACATTTAACTGTTTCGACAGTAAAAGGATGGGACCGAGATGCCAATCTAGTAGCACACTTAAATTCATGCAGTCAAGGCACCAGTAAAAATAGTTCATCAGAGCAGATGGCATGAAAATATTTATAGAAAAGACAGAGGGAAGCCACATTATATCAGTGAGAACGTGACTGGAGTCAAAACCCCAAGTCAGGACCAATCACATTGCATATCCGTCTTTGGATTTTGTAGAGAACCTCAAGATGAACAGTGGGGGCACCAGAACATATATGACAAGAGCATTCCATAAATGGATGAATGGTAGATTTGTAGATGTGAAGGATGGACTCAGACAAGAAAAACCTTCTGGCATGACACAGAGAATCAACTTTCCTTGCAGTAGATGCAGCAATTGATTCAATGTAGATAGATTGTAAACAAGTTCCACTTGAAGATTGGGGGGGGGAGAGAACATCCATCATATCAGTAGAAAATTTAAAATACTCCCCAATTTAAAAAATTTAAAGTATTAGAAAATTTCAATACTTCATATAAACCTTTCATATCAAGGTAAAATGATCATATTTGAGGCTTGCTTTGTGGTTGGAATAGTTGTGAGAGACCATAGAGAAAATCAGGATTTAAAAATGCTGATTTTCTAGGAATGAAAAGACTCCTGCTCTAGAACATTTCTATTGCTACCATACCATACTACACTAAATATCAACATGAATGTTTTTTGATATTCTTCTTCTACAAGCTGTGTTCTTTCAGCATGTGGGTAATCATGGCTCTCCACAGCTTCCTGTTATTTGTAGCCCTTAATAAAGTTTGTCTTTTTGTTATCTTTCTTCTGCTGTCATACATTTATGCAAGTTCAGTATGTTGCCCACTGTTTTCTTCTACCACCCCTTACCATCAGTATGTCATGTGAATGTCAAATTTTCCAAGCTCTCTTTCCTCATTATTTGCCCTAGAAATTTCAACTCTCTCTTTCTGATGCTCAGAAGCTCAGTTTTTGCTTCCATTTTCTCTAACTTGTCATTATTGCTCATGTGTTCAGTCCATGGCATTCTCAGCATCCTTCTGTGGAAGCACATTTTTGTCACAAGTCTCTTCTCCATCTGTGTTGAGAGTGTCCAGCATTCACTGCCATATAAGAGGACCAATATTACATAACAGTTCAGTACTCTTTTCTTTACTATTTTTTCAGACAATTATTTTTTGAAAGGAGTAATATGTCTTTCAGACTAGCAATTGCAATAGTTAATGCTGTGATAAATTTAGAAAATATTTGTGTGGTGCTGATTTATAAAAAGACAAATTATAATCTGCTGTATTCCACATTTCTTGATAAAACATTTCCCAAAAAATTCTGGTTAAAATAATCACCTTGCACACTGGTTATAGCAGTGATTCCCAAACACCACACCACAGCACACCTCATAGGTGAAGCAGAAGAGGATAGCAGGTGAGGCAGAATGATTGAAAGACAATCAAAGATTTAAAAACAGTTTCCAAAAATTCATATGTCAGAAATAAATAAGATTTCAAAATTTAAAATATTATTATAAATTACTTCTAATTGCATGCATGAGTCCCAGTATAAATAGTTATAAATAATTATAAACTGATTTCATCATTGTGATATTTTTGCATTATATCAAGTATTAAGAATATAGTAACTAGGCTCTGCAAATTGGAAGAGAGAGTTATCAATGATAATGTTCTGACTTTGAATCTACAGTTATCTCCCTTTATCCCTCTCTCAGTGTTTTTATTTTTAAATGTACTTTTTATCACATAAAATTTGGTGAGGTATGAGCAAATTTTCATTATGAAAAAGTGGCCCAGAGAAAAAAGTTTTAGAATCACTGGGTTATATAGCTTGAGATGGGCTGACAGTTTAAAGTGACATGTATCACACATTCATTACCTAGAAATATCATCATGTAGATCCTATGGTGAAAAATATGATAATAATATCATCTGTCCATCAGAGCCATATTTATTAACAACTGGTCTCAGTAAGTTGAATTAATCTAATGGTAGAGAAAAAAGTTCCAGTTTTGACTATCTATTAAAATATTATTAACACAAAATATATATTAACACTGAAATTAATGACCTTAATTAGATCCTCAGTTTAACATGTTACCAGTTTAGTTTTTTTTGTTTTATGAATAACAATTTCCTTCATTCTATAATAATAATTTATGAAGACAATAGAAGAGTAGAGGTAATGTTGCAATATTATAGACACCCATATAGGAAAGGGTGATATGGTTTTACCACAATCTCAAGTGTTTCTGTTTAATTGCCAGGAAGTAGTGTTTTTTTTTATGTTTAATTTCCTAAGTGGCATCCACTTTAACCAAAGGGAACAGAGAAGTAAAGGATGAAGAGTTTTTGGTGATAAATGACAACAAAGCCAGAAATAGGGGGGTGTATCCAGGTGCTGGCATATATTAACAGTCATGCTTGGGATCGGGGTAAGTTCTAGTCCACCTTTGGCAGGAGACAGACTTGTTCATCACATGTTTACAATGCTGTCAATTCAAATTGCCAGGCACCACACTGATATGAGAAGATGGGCAAGGAATTGGTAAGAGAAAGAAATTCACATGATAGCAGTTGTCTAGTGATAGTGGGTTGATTTTGTTTAGTGGCCTATCAATCTCTATGGGTTATTTAATGCCAAAATCTAAATATTTTGAACAGAATTTTATGGCTTCAACAAAATATATTTTGAATGCAATTGTATGCCTTCAGCTACAGATAAAATATATTATTGGTCATCTTGCTATAAAGTGTTGCTGGTAATTCTACTATAAAATGTATTGCTGGTCATTTTTTATATAAAAATGTATTGCTGGTATCTTTACTATAAAAATATATTTTTATGCTTTTATAGTGTGTTGTTTTTGCTTGGTGTTCACTATTTGCCCATAGCTAATACTCTAAAAAGGTGCTACCACCCAGGGTCAGGGTGGAACTGGGAACAATACCAATCTAGAGGTGGTTCCATGCTACCCAAACTCTTCAATCTCCTGATCAGATATTGCTGCCAGATGTAGTTTATCATCATACTTAGGATACTATGTCTCATGTCACCTACCTATCTGATCAGGCGAAACCCTGAATAAAACAACCATTTTGTAATATAGGAAAAAAGGTTTGTATTATCATTACACAACGTGGCATTTGCTTTTCATCTTGTTACTTTATGAGCAGGAAGCAGCCCCTTGTTCAACTTTTGGCACACATTGACAAGATTAAGAATTGAAATGTAATGTGGGGTAATCTTTAGGCAGTTGGTGGAAATCTTGGACAAGGTTATATGTTTACAATATAACAGGATTTGAACTTACATTTGCCACTTTTGGTTGCTTCATTAGTGCTTATTAATATATAGACAATAAGTAGGGCAGTACATGTATTGAAAAAAGTCAAACTAGTAAAATAATTACATTTTTAAGCTTTGTAGAATCATTTAATTAAAATGGTAACAATGAAAATAGCTTACTCTTTATTTTGTTGGCCATAAAGATAAAAATGTCCAAGGTAGAGAAAAATTTCTCCATTGTATGGATCAAATCTAGCAGCCTAGAAAGAGAGAGATAAAAAATAGATAAAAAATAAAAAAGAAGGACAATAACTAACAAAACATAAGAAATCTTGCATTTTACCTTTTTTTTGCAAGCAAAAAGATATCTCTATTTTTGGAGTGATTTTCAGGAAAAAAAAAAGACCCCTGAAAAATACAATGAATGATGTATACAAATTCTCAGCTATCTTTTATATGCACTGTCGCTTCAGGATGTAGGCGATCATGGCCCTTCACCTTTTCCTGTCCCTTATAGCTCTTAATAAGCTTTGTCTTTTGTTATTTCTCCCAAACCCTGTTCTGCCATCCATTTGCTCAAGCCCATCAAGCATGTTATGCACTACTTTCCTCTGTTCTTCTTTCTCTCAATCTGTCCTCCTGAGTATCAGATTTTCCAAGCCCTCCTTCCTTATTACGTGCCCCAGAAATTTCAACTGCCTCTTCCTGATTTTAACTATGTTTCCTTTTTGCTTCCATTCTCTCCAAAACCATATTGTTGCTTCCATGTTGGGCCCATGCACATGTTCAGCCCATGTTATCCTCAGCATCTTTCTGCTATACAGCATCTAAAATACCTGCTATTTATCAGATTTTGTATAAAATGCAGGAGAAATTTAAACTTTTGGAGGGCATAGGGTTAAAGGAACAATCAAGAGTGTTTTATTTTATTACTTAGTTCCACTTTATCAAGGGTCTATTTATGCAATTAATTTTAAAAAACATAAAAAAAAGATAAAAAGAAATGGTAGACAAACACAACTACAAATAAGATTGCAAAAAAATGTTCAGTAAAAACATAACTATAGACTCCAAATTCCAAGTACCAGCAGAATTGAAAATTACAAAGGTTAACAAACATTGTTTATTTTCCAGACCCCACATTGAAAGCAGATATTAGCAACAACTTCTATTTTAGAATTTGGGGAAATATTGCTTGATTTACAGTCAGAAAAAAAAGTAACGATAACCAGACAGAGAATATTCAACTGAATAGAATGGTGACTTTTCTATTTAATATTTAGACAATGATGAAAGTTAAGGAAAGCAAATGATAGTAAATTGAAGTATCTAGGTAAAATGTGATCCCCCACTATTGATAATATTCATTATGCAGCTTTGCAATCTCTCATGATAGATTCAAAAATGCTATCATATAATTCATCACTCACTACCCATTCAAATAAAAGCACCAGCACTTACCTGCAATAGTGAGGCAAAACATTTCTGTGAACATTCCTCGGTGCTCAAGTCAGAGGAGATATCTTTCAATTGCCAATATGTACGGCCTAGCATCAACTGAAACTTACTGTTGTTAGGTTCCAAGGATACTGCTGTTGACAATCTGCAAGTTAACAAAAAAAATGTAAACAAGCCTATCTTCATACAAAGTGTAGTCATAAAAAAGCTGATTTATGTCATAATTATCACACACTGTCTGATAAGAGAATATATTTTATATTTTTCACATATGACTAGTATAACTGATACAGATTATATGTGTGTGTGTGTGTGTGTGTGTGTGCATAAATACACCCACTTCTGCCAAACTAAGCTGGGTTAAGTAAGTATCTATATAATTTATACAGAGGTTTTTTTTTTATCATATCACCCCATGCAAGGTAGTAAAGCTACTAAGACACAAGGAGTTACTGAGTGTGAAAGTATAAGAAAAAAGAGAAACATTATTAAGGAGTGAGAACAATAGAAGATTAATCAAAAAGACAGGAGATAAAAATTGACATTACATTTAAAATTTTGAAGATCAGTTGGCTGGGAAGTATGAAGCCAGAAGAGAGTTGTACATGCAAGAAATGCAAAAAAAAAAAAAAAAAAAGATTACCATAGGTTACATCTAGCCAATTCAACTGTAAAGTGATCTTGTTACTAATCTAGTATTAAACTTAAATTCATAAAGTCTAAGTACCATAGTGAAGAGTTCATTTGAACAATTACAATAAAAGTATTTATAGTAAAGGCACAGGGAAGCTACATTACTGTGATGGGAAAGTAACTGAAGCTGAGACGTCAGATATGTGTGAGAAATACATGTTTTTAACACAGACATATGTTTTCTTTTAAATCAATTCACCCCAAGCAAGGTGATAATACCACTAAGATGCAAAGGGCTACTGGTAGTGAAAGAGAGAATAGACTTTAGCAGGAATCGGAAACCTGATTCTAAACAGGAAAGAAGGGATAAGGAAAAGACTAGGGAGGAGTGTGAACCGGATGATAGGTAAACCTATCTACACCTTTTAATATACATACTAGAAAGTGGTGAAACTTATCATCCCAACCTGCTTTTCAAAAGATCAGAATCGTCTTGGAAATGCCACTTGGTCAGACTTAAAAATTTTGAGCACTCCTCTATGTGTGTATGTGTATGTGATTTGAACGCAATCACACTGTTGAATAAAGAATGTTTTCACAAACAAAACACTATTTTTCCACCTAGTCACAACCACTGACTTTGTATATTCACTAGCAATGAACAAGAACCTTACTGCTATACTTGTAGCAATGAACAACTTTTCCACACACATCATCATGGCAACTGTCGAAATGTATTACCCACAATCTAACTGTGCTCATTTCTGTAAATGTTCAGCAAGTGATTATATCAATCAGTAAAATTTCTTCTGCACAAAAGAAGAATACAATGATACACCGGATTTTATATGGATTTTCAGATGCCATTTTGTCAGACTGTCACTCAACTGCTATCTGTAACTAGGCAATAAAATTCTCTAACGCCATACCATAAACATCTACTTCTGATGTTGTGCATCAGCATAAGACAGGAGGCATTACTTTCAAAGCAACTCCTGTGTGGACATACATATATATATATAGATATATATATAAAATTAATAGATTTATTTTTAATCTGACATTTTTTATTACTTCAAATGTTATTTTCAGTGGAGACCTATGTTTGAAATAGATTCCCAATATTTTTTTTATTTTAAATACTGTGCATTAAATCTATAGCCTGCACACCTGAGAAAAGTCAATCACACTGTTTAAAATGAAAATCAGACCATCTATTTCAAACACCTGAATCCACTAAAACAATGTTTGGAAATATTTATTACCCTCTGTCACCTTATATAAGCTTAATACTGCCCTTCAAAAGTGTAAATTTTAAATTCATTTTTTCACCTTTAAAGTGAAGTCTGAAGATCCAGAGAAAAATAAAATCTCTGGTGAAATAAATTATAACTAATGGGACCTTAAAGTGGTCTGTTCTTTCTTTAAAAAGTAAATTATATATATATATATATATATATATATATATATATATATATATATGGATTTGGTATTATCATATATAAGTGGAAAGTATAATGCAAATAGGTCTTTTTAATATAAAATATTAAAAAGATGGATCCATAAAGAGAGCTCAATGTATAGTATACAGAGCAATATGATATACATCAAGGAAATACTTAATGCATCATTGAAAACACAGTTATAAATTATAATTTATTTCAATGGGTAAGTTTTTAACACGCATCAGACAGAAATTACAAATGGTTTAAATTTAAATTTATCCAGAATATTTTAAAAAACAAGATAACAGGAAGTCTAGACGCTTGACCTAGAAAATCTATTTTCTGGGGATTTATAACATTGAAGATGTGTGGGAGAGGGGGAGTTAGCTTTCAATCCAATTTTCATGTGTTGTGGTTGGGAGAACATAGTAACAGCTAGAGAAATACACTAACATAAAGACATACACACAAACACACACACATATATATATATATATATATATATATATATACACATACATAGACACACGTTTTGAATGATGCCTTAAGTTTTTTCTTTGATGTGTGTGTGCACGTGTGTGTGTATATATATATATATATATATATATATATATATATATATATATATATATATTTAATTTGTATATTTAACATCAATTACTTTTTGATTCAATAAAAGTTATTAAAAAATAATTTTATATATAGTAGAAAATAAGATAAAAAAATATTAAAAATAATTGAAGCACTAATAATAAAAAAAAAAAAATCAACACTCAATAACATTAACTATGAACACAGCCATAATGTGCTAACCATGTTTGGAAAATAAAACATTCCTATAACTTCAAAAAGCCACACATTCAGTTAAAAATAAAAAATTAAAATTATATTAGATAATGGCTAAAAGAATAGCCTAAAGTGCTCGGACATGCAGAACTTTTGAACAGTTCTTACAGACTTTGTGTCCAGAAAAGAAAACTCTTGTACTATCACATGAAAAATTAAATAAAAACCTTAACTGCAGTACTTTGTCAGTTGTCTTTAATGAAACTTGCATAAGAGAGGGATTGCTACCCAAATACAGAATTATATACACACACACACACACACACACACACACACACCTTATAAAATATGAATCTTTAGGGGCCATAAAATGAAAGTATGAGCAAGAGCAATTATACTTACTTTTCCAAAGCTTTAGTAAAATCCCCTTCATGAAAGTGGATCCAGCCTCTCAAAGCAATGACTTCTGCATCTTCTACAGCTTCAGACAATTTTTCAGCATACTCCTGCAGATCACAACACCAATGTTATTTATAGAGGCACACAAAACACAATAATAAATTTTAATTTACATTTTCTAAAACAAATATACACCAATAAAGAATCACCTTGATACAATCTTAGTTTCTTCATCTGATAAGCGCCATTGTCCAATTTATGGAATATTTGCAAAAAATTACTCCTTAAATAATTACAACAGTTATTGGATTGGATTAAAAATAAATCTCTTTGTTTATCTTTGAGTAGATAAGGAATTTGAGTACCGACATTAGTTCTTTTTTACTTACAGTATTTTTAAATTGTCATTTTCTTTTTTTAATTTCAAACCAACTATTAGGATTTTATAGAATTTTATAAAATAAATTGCACATCTGGTGTAATTTTAAAAAATTTGAATTCATTTTTTAATAACTTTTATTAAATCAAAAAGTAATCAATGTTAATTATGCCAATAAATTTTAAATTAATAATAAAATACATAAAAAGCCATTTTCAAAAGTGCTATTAAGAACTCAGATACCATGACAAAAAATCAAGTAAGCGTTGTACTGTCTGATTATTTATAACTTTAAGACTGTAATTTTGGTAAATATATCTGTTAAAATGAGATGACAGTGTTCTTTTCATTTTTGCCTAATTTAGACAACAATTTATCCATTGCACGCTGTATAGGAACTTTGAACAAACATTTCGGATATATTTTTTTGGATTAATAATATCCACAATGGCAAAAGTATATTCCCAGCATTAAAACACCATTATATGATGTGTAACACTCTCAATAATAAACAAAACAAAAACATTAAAGAAACAAGTGATAATAAATAGAGGTTAAAATTAAATTTTTGTGACAGTTTTCAAATATCAATAATCTAAAGCAAACTAGTAATTAATGCTAGCTCCTGCAGAGGGCTAATTGAGCCTCCACACCCAAAACTAAAGTAACCTCTGATCCAGCTTAGAAAACAGCAATGATAATTTTGAAGAAATAATTTTGAATTCCTCAGTTCATTCCATGGAACTTCAAAACCTCATTTTAACTCTGATTCAAGCTATAAGGTCAATTCCAGCCAAAATACTGATTTCGGTCGAAACTCCAATCTGGACCAAAATTCCAATTCAGGCTGAAAATTGAGTTCTTTAAATCACAAACTCCATGTAACTTCAATTGAGTTAAGTTCTTCAAATCACAAACACTGCAGAACTTCAACACTTCACATCACAAAACCTCTCACTTTAATTCTGATTCCTTGGCATTTTGAATGAATAAAATTGATTTTTTAAATTCACAAAGTTTTGTAGACAAAGTTTTTGTGTTACTTTAAACTCAATATAAATTAAAAACTTTTAAAATCATTAATTTTATTCAGTTATTTTAAAATTTGAATTTTTAACTGTTCCCTCATCAATCCGGACACAAATCCCAATGCTGGATGTTCAGGCACCAGATGAAGGGCAGATTTTTTAATCACAGGATCATCCTGATTCCAGAAAGGTATAATATGTCTACATAGAGCAAGTGTGGTCAGAGTTAGAGGGGTTTCAGACGGACAGACAGAATTTGCTGTTTATTTATCAATGATTAATTTGTTTCTTGATTAATATAGCTTTGAACATAAAGAAATATATGAAGTCAGTTTAAACATCACTTATGGCCTTGTGCTGTACTAAACGAGGTTTAGTAACGCGTAAAAGATGTTTCAGAAGTTACCCAAAGTGATTCCTTGGACCAATCAGAAATGAACAAAAAAAGAAGACATTCTTGAAGGCAATTGCCTACAAAAATGTAGAAACAGATTAAGAAGAGGAAGAATCAAAAGAAGGTGGTAGTTACCGCTGCCTGTTCATATTTCTCTAGCTTTATATAAAGGTAGGCAATGGTCAAGACAATCTCTCTGTCTTCAACTGTAGTCTGAAAAGAGGAAAACAAGTGAAACAAATCTAAACATTTGAAAGACAGTGATGTATACATGATAGTGATGGCTACTAGGACAGGAAGTGAACTATGATCTGGCTATCAGAAATATTTACTGAGTAAATGCTCGATAAAAAGAGTTTTAAATTTGGAATCAAAATTCACTGGACAATAGTTTATTATCATTAAAAAAAAAAACATTTTGGGCATTCACTGCTGCCTATATATACAACTACAAGTATTTTTGAACAGCCCAAGATAAAATCAAAAAGTCCAATTCCCAATACTCTATCACAAACAGATGCATATATTTTATTTTTATTTTTCCTACTATAATAGAAAAAAGTATTTTTATGTCTTTCTGAAAGTGTGTATGCTAAATTCAAAACAAGTGGAGATTTGTACAATTATTTTTTTAATACCAAAACAAAGCTACAGTTTATCCTTGATGGCTACTCTTATCACACACACATGTTGCAAGATGTGAAATCTATCTTTAAAAGTTTCAATGAAGTGTTAAGACTCTCAGAGTTTTCAGGACTGTATTATATGAGAAAAATGCTACAAGTCCATTTGCTGAAAATTAGTTAATGTAATGATTACTTAAGTGGATTTTGAAAAAAATATTTGTTTATAATGGCTATTTGCTACTTCATAAGATTTCAGTCTGTAAACTGTGCGAACCAAAGGGTTTATTTAATGACTTTAAATTGAAATAAATCTTATTTGGCTATTAGAGGAGAATTTATTTAAATACATTTAAAATACAATTGTTTCCTTCAGAAATTAAAGACCTATTTCATATTCAAAATGCACCAAGTTAAATCAGTGGATTAACATTTCTAGCTCAAGCCTTTATCAATCATCAAACCCTATAATAATTATCAATGTATGTTTATTTATATGTTTCCTGTCCCTCTGTAATGAGAAGGGAGGTAAATCAATTTCAGTTAGTAAATTTATGAGGGATTACTTCCCTGAGCTGTTTTAATAATCTAGACAAATAAAATATTTATCCACATTTAGACATAATTACTTCCTGAGCAAAACAAACCATTTAGTTAATCACTTCCTTTTCTCCTTTTGCTTTTAGATTGTAGTCTTCTTTGTTCAAGCCTTTCATGTGATGCACTCAGATACCTTTGTCGATTAAGTGATCATCTTGCTTAAACTTGGCCCTGAAATAGGCTTTGCCATTGCTGTCTTTGTTGTTCTGTTGCTAATCTTTTTATCCCAAGAGATATTTCTATTTCACTGTTATATTAAACACATAAAAAATTTTTAACATGAAAAGATAATGAGCAAAAAGCGATTTATATAATACTAGGAGTAATCTATAAATTATAGATACACTTGAATGTCTAAAAAAATATAAAGGGGACAGATTCATTAAATAGTTCATTGGCCTTTATTTTAGTTGTGAATTTTTTTTTATCTCTGTTTTATTGAATCTCAATCCATCATTTCATGACTTTTGTTTCATTTCATCTCACTATTAAAACTTGTTAACAACCACCATCATTATTGACAGCACGAATACACCAGTCTTTGAATAAAGAGCCAAGGATTCACTCATATTCATATAATTTTTAACTATTATAGAAGAGAACTATTAACTTTTACTCATCATAAAAAATCCCAACCTTATTGAATGATGATATAAAGTATAAGGAATGAATTAACTATTCCCTGATGCATCTTTGCAATTCAAAGATAAAACAAAATTGTAAAATATTTACCTTTTTTTTTTCTTTTTTTTTTTTAAGCATTTCACCCCAAGCAAGGCGGGAAGCCACTAGGACGCAAGGGGTTACAGAAGATAGGAAGATCAGATAGGAGTGATAGAAGATAGGATGAGGGTAGTAGATAGATTAGGGCAACTGGAGATGTCGATTGACATTACACTTGAATAGCTGGAGATTATAACTCACAGGGAAACAGGAGAAGGGAAGAGAGTTCCACAGGTGAGAGGTGCGAGACATGAAGCTATTAGAGTAGAAGAGACGGCTACATTTAGGAGTTTCGACAGTGAAGGGGTGAGAGCGGGATGCCAGCCTCGTAGGGCGCTTGAACTCATGAAGTCTGGGAACCAGCGAATGCAGCTCCTCGGAGCAATTCCCATGAAAGTATTTGTAGAACAGACAGAGGGAGGCGACGGTGCGTCTGTGAGAAAGTGACTGTAGACGAGATGCCAGGGCAGGGCCAACCATATTGCATATCCGCTTCTGGAGCCTATCAAGAACCCCGAGGCAAACAGAAGGGGCGCCAGACCATATATGGCAGCAATACTCAAAACAAAAAGGATTATTTGCACTTTTAAATTTCAATAATTAATTTTAAGAATTTAATGAAAAGGAACTTTAGACAGTACAGAAAGGCCAAAGAATTATCAGCTGAAACATTAACAACAATAAACATAAAATAATAGCTTATATAATAATATAAGAAATAGAATATGGGCACCTCAACATGGTGTAATGGTTAGAAAGCTTGTCTTACTAGATCAATTACGACTGAGTAGTGAGTTTGATCCTCGCTGGGTGCCCCATACTTTCGGCCTTGTGCCACATCTAAGCCAGGCTTAAAAAAAATCACTATAAGAAATAGAATCACCTCATATATATATATATATATATATATATATAACGTCATCCACAGACAGACTGTTTCGCTGTTTCACAGCTCATCAGTGTGGCTAGACATCCGATTGCCTCTAGCTAGGATCGAAACCCGACTGAATTGGTGTCAGTGGAGATTCTAACCATTAAGCCGTCGGGCGCAATTGTAGGGATGAAAGTGAATTTTTTTAAGCGTATTTATTTTTTACAAACACGCCCAGTGACCGACAGTGACTCAATTCGCATCTGCGAAGAGTCTCGCTATATATAGCTATAATAGTCACTGTTTACCAACCCACACCTATATATATATATATATATATATATATATATATATATATATATATATATATATATATATATATGTGTGTGTGTGTGTGTGTGTGTGTGTGTGTGTGTGTGTGTGTGTGTGTGTGGGTGGGTGGGTGTGTGTGTGTGTGTGTATCTTGGACAATAAAATAATGTTAAAAATTAAAATTTCAGACACACTAGGTGGTATATTAATATTTTTTTTATTATTTAAATTACGTTTCTCGACTAGTTTCAGCCAGCATGGCCATCACCAGGAGAAAAAATTCCTGCTTGTTAGTAGCAGTGAACTACAGGAGTGAATGAATGTCTTTGAAAAAAGTGAACTTTGCCTGTAGTTTTCATTTGTTTTTTTTATCATTAATTTTTGGTCAGTTCTTGTATAGGTCAGTACAAGGGAAGTAACTTTTCCATGTTTGCTCATACATATATAATTCTTTTTTTGTTATAAGCATTTAAAGACTTTGTTGCTGTACTCATAGTTGACATTATTTATTTTGGGCTTTAATTCTCTTATATAAAGGGCTACAAGGATTTTTAGCTTTCGCTTATTATTGTTTTTATGTAATATAGATGTATTTTCAACTAATATCCATTTAATCTGTGTGTGTGGGCATGAGTGTTCCTTTAAATGCTAATATATTGAAATATGCTCAGCCAAATGAAATGTAAGCCTTTTTGTTAGCAATTTTTTTTTTTGTAGTTAGCATTGACATTTTATCAGAGATACAATCTCCTAAAGGACATGTTTATGTTATGTCTAAATTATTTAACCAAAGCTGTTTGAATATATATATATATATATATTATAAATTAATTGATTTAAAATATGTTTTTTTTGCTACACAGTTCCAACCATGTTTCAAAAATAGAAGCTAAAAACCCCAAATTTAATTTTGCAATTAAATTAAAAGCATTAGTTCCATTTCATCTTCAAGCGAATTTTGGAGTAACTTTTAAAAATTACCGGGTTTTTAAAAGTTACTCCAAAATTTGCTTGAAGATGAAATGGAACTAATGCTTTTAATTTAATTGCAAAATTAAATTGGGTTTTTAGCTTCTATTTTTGAAACATGGTTGAACTGTGTAGCAAAAAAACATATTTTAAATCAATTAATTTATAATATTAATGCTCTGTAAATTTACATTGAGCACTATTTTGTAAAAATAAAAATATCTATAAGAACACCGGATTTTATATCTTACTGTTCTTTCTTTTTATTTATATATATATATATATATACACACACACACACACAGACATGCCAAAAATCATGACATAACAGTGTGTAAAAATAATGGTAGGTGGCACCACTATACCTTGGCATTATGGTAATGCCTAAACCTATATCTGATATACTCCGACTAATGGTAAATCAAAATGAACACTGAGTGGGCTGCTCATAACAAAGTGCTATAAATTACTGGAGTTTGAACTGGGCATGATAGTTGGTCACATATGGATTGGACATTCTATTTCTGAAATTGTGAAAAAATATAACATCTCTTACTCTACTGCCACATGCATACTGGGAATTTGTACTCAATCGTGGATTCCATATCCTCTAAAAATGATTGGTTATTCCAGTAGAAGAGTCTTTCCACTGTGTCATTGGGCCCAAGTTGGTCAGAGGATCATTCTAGAGACTTTCAATAGTGTGGCCACCATGTTTACCTGATATGAACCCAATCAGGTATTTATGGGACATGGTGGAGAGTTCAGGCTATTGCATTCAGTTCAGACTAATGCCCTGGAGAATAGCACAAATAAATTTCTCCTTCCACCAACTATTGGTTAAATATCAGTGGATTAGACACTTTATTCTTGGCACAGCAGAGCCTGTCTTGGGGAAAGATAATGTTAAATTCAAAGACCTTGCTAACATGTTATGGTCAAGCATTATTTCCCATATCTAACAGATTTGAGGAAAGCTACAGTTCTGTAGTGGGTGATGTAAATAAAAAAATCAATGTATATATAACACACACACAAAGAAAACTATTTCGAAGGAGACAGTGGAAACTAGATGTTATTTAGGATTTGTTAGGAGCTGAAAGTAATTATTGCTAACAAACCTCCTGAAGGATCTTCACCATGTTGTTAACCATTCCAAGAGAAGTTTGCTGAAGGCATATCTTTGCCTGCAACATGTGGAGAGATGCTATCAAACTGCTTGGGCTGATTGTCAAGCAGCCAACCTTTTTGGGAATGGCTTTAAGAGCTGAAGTAGAGAAAAAGAAAGATTTATTAGGTACAGGTCATAACTAACCCAATGTATTTGGAAAAGACATTAAGGTTTAAATTAAACATTTCATTGGAACATCAGTCTTGCTTGTAGTCAAAATTTATTAACTTATTTGGTACTATAAAATTTTTATTATGACAGGTCAGTCAACAAGGACTTCTGATTATGGAAAAAAATAATGAAAATTGTAAAAATGACATTTTTAGCATAGGTGATTGTGATGTAGAAAAATGTTCTAAAATGGATTTTACAACTAACAAGAATCCCCATCAAAAGGTGTGTTGTGATCTATTCAAATCTGTATGTAACTGTCAAAAAGAGGACTTTGCAAGTTTTTGCAATGAAAAGTGACAATATATAATTCTTCCAAGCAAATATTAGCAAGTTTAATTTTTTTCTGATATTTTCAGAACTGGAATATTCTTTAGGAAAAATGCAACTAATTTCGATTTACATCTAAATTTTAACTTTTGTTGCCTGTGTCTATTCTGTATATACCAAAAAAAAAAAAGTAGATACTGGTAACAGACTCTTTGTACATTTGATTTACCAACCAGAATAAAATTTATTTTTGTTTGGTCTGAAATCCAATTTCTCATCATTCCTTTTTTCTCAAAGACAATCATGAATTTGACAACAATTCTAACTTGGGATCCATTATTTGATCACAACTTGTCAGAATAACAAATGATTCTGATTATTCAATTTTTGCTAGTATTTCTTTTATTTTGAAGGTGCAGGTGGCCTAATGGTTCACAACATAGAAAATGGAATCAGTGAACTGAGTTCAAACTCTAGGTTGGGGCAGTTTGCATTACTTTGCACCAGAGTACATGGGAAAATCATGAACCTATTCCTTACAATTATGGGTAATATAAGTGAGCAGTTCAACATATACTAAAGTGGGGAGCATCTTGAGTATTTGGCTAGCAGCCTGGCCATGTCAGAATTCACTAACTACTGAAACCATAGCAGCATCACTTAGTGTAATTGCAGACCTATGCTCCACAAGGGATCTGCAAGAATTCCTTTATTTTGATCATCAGTATAACTCTTGGTCTATTCATGATCATTAATAAACAATGCAGATCAGATATAAAGAACAAACCTTCATTAAGACTTGTATTTTCATCCCTTATACTTAGAGGCATGCATTTATATGGCAATTATCTTATCAGTTGGGCCACAAAGGCTATCATTCAGGAGTTATCAAAACCTAGTTACATTTAATGATAATGACTTGATAAATCAAGTCAATTCTCCTGATAGAATAATTTTAGAATATGATGTACAAAGTTTACACTTTTTTTTAAATTAGTATCGAACAATTTTAGTTGGGCCTGGTTATGCATAACAAATTCTCAAATTTGATCCTTATTTCATGCTTAAAATATAACACTACAGAGAGAAATTTCAGTTATTGATGGTTAATAAACTTTACATACAAAGTAAGTCTACTGAGTCTTGCTTCATACTTAAAATAAGCTTAATTTTTGGACAAATCTGAACCTTGTCATGTTTATAAGCTTCATGCTAAAAACAAAAAGAACAGTATATACAATATTTAAACATACATACATACCCATGTTGTATGCTTTCTCAATCACTGTTGTTTCATGAAGATGATACAAAGTTAACATTAGGTAGTAATGCCCACAATAAATCAAAGAATTCTGTTGTAGACCTGGAAAACAAATATAAAATCTCTTGTATACATGCCTGTGTCTATATGTTTATTAACTTTTAGTAGCAACTACTCTATCTCCAATGCGACATTTTACAAACTCCAGATCAATAAATTTTCATCTGAAAGTTATCAAAAAAACATTTTTTCTGGTTTATATTAGGTTTCTATACATTACTTAATGAAGAAAAATTGATATTGTTTTCTTAAATAGTTTTTTGTTTTTTTTTAATTATTACAGAATAACATTTATTTGGATTTTTCTACTTCTATGGTTTCTCCTGCCCAAAAAATAAACCTTTTCAAGTTCTCCTTCTCATAAATAAAATTCAAAATGAGAAAAACTGTTAATTGCTGAAAACCCCAGAAAAGTGGATTGAACAATTACCAAAAAGTTTTTTTTATGAAACTCTAGAGTTGAGGTGCAGAAGAAGGTGAATATAAGATCAATCAGCTAAGTGACAAATTACATTTTTAGTAATATAGGTAATATATATATATATATATATATATATACACACACAAAATAATTGGTGGCTGCCTATTTTTTCAAGTATGCACATCTGCTAGGGGTGGGATAGTTAATCCCTTGTTGCAGATCCCTGCTCAGACACCTTTGTATTTTTCCAGCACCCACAGAAACAACCAATGTGCCTGAGCAAGCATCTGCACCCAGGATTGGCTAGCCACCGTCACAAACAGGCATAGTTGGATTTGAGTGGCCATTCATTATACATTGTAATATATATGAATGTATATCATATTAAGACATACTATCAAATTGTATTGCATGATAAAAAGAATTAATGATAAAGTAAAATAAAATAACTATTGTTATTATCAATAATTAACATTCTTATATCAATCTTCTAGCTTTCTCTCCAAAGTATACTAAATATAATGATAGTAAATAATGACTGACAAACCTTTTTTTAGTAGTTCAGTGGCCGTATTGTAATCTTTTGAAATGATGGCACAAGCACCAATGCAGATCTTCATAATGGCTGATGTTTCCTCAACAGATGTGGCTGCTTTGTTCACACAGTCAGTGAAGAATTTACTAAACAATGGCATTAACTTTCCTGAAAAACAAACAAAATACTTATTTTAATGGTATTGAATAATGTTACAATTGTAAAACTATCTTTTGACACTCTCTCATTCCTGATTGAAAGACATTTTTGGTATGAACAATTTCCTTTTTAAATACTGTTCACACTTAATTAACTGAACGGAAAGACATACACAGTCAGGCTCTAGGGAAGTTTTAGTATTAATCTTTATAGTTTGGGAATAAAATACAATTATATCAATTATATTTTAGTAAGATAAAAAAAAAAGAAATTATTTACAGTTTGAAATATTGATAGTCTTTTATGAATTTATAAATGAAACATTATTAAACAGGGTACAGCAGAAATATCGCCCATATAATGGTAAGACATTAGTTAGATGAAGACAACATTGCCACTAATGTATCACTATTATATGGGACGTATTTGTGGGAGGTACATATGGAAGGTATTTCTACTGCACCATGTACTTAATTTTCAAAATTTTAATGAATGGCAACTTTCCTTCAGAAAATAATTCTCTTCCTCTACCCTATCATTTCTATAATCTCTTCTTCTACCCTATTCCTGCTATAATCTCTTCTTCTACGCTATTCCTGCTATAATCTCTTCCATCCTATTCCCGCTATAATCTCTTCTTCTACCCTATTCTATCTATAATCTCTTCTTCTACCCTATTATTTCATGCTTTATTCAAAATAGTGTTCGCAATCCTTATGAATACATTTTAGCCAAGTTGTCCGTCAATCTGAATAGCATTGTCTAAAATCATGAGAGGAGTTATTTTGATTAATATTCTTATCCTTGCAATTTTTATATTCTAGCCAATGTATCCTTTGGCCTTCAGAGAAAAAAAATATGGTTAATACTTTGCACATGTACTGGGAAAATTACCAAATATGTTGATTTACTTGTAGCTGGAATTTTTTGTTTTTCAGACTAATAATACACTACTTTATGCAGTTATTTTAATATGCAAATCTAGAAAGATCTAGATAAGAGAAAAACAAAATTATTACCTAATGGAATTATGTAATTGAGAAAGAACTCAATGGCTGAAATGTAGCAAAGATGAGAATACTAATCTGAATAACTTTCGGAAGAATAACAATGACATATCTAAAAATTTAAAACAATATAAGACATGAAAACAATGACAAATATTACTTACCTATGTTTGCATCCAATTCCAACAAAAGGGCGTAATCAATAAGATTTTGATTTTCAGGATCAACAGCCAATAAGCGGTTAATCTCCAATTTGAGAAATTCTTGATCATTGTTCTGAAAGTCAGATTATAAGTTCCATTGAGTCAATGAGAGTATTTTTTTTTTCATTTTACCCCCAAGCAAGGCAACAAAGCCACTAACACACAGGGGGGTTACTGAGTGTGAGAGAATATAAGAATAACATTATTAAGGTATGAGAACAATAAAAGGACGGGAATTAAGAAGACAGTAGATAATAATTGACATTGCATTTAAATTGTTGAAGATCAAACTTGATTGGAAAGCAAGAAGCCAGAAGAGAGTTCCACAAGCGAGAAGTGTGAGAGAAGAAACTATTAGCATAGAACTTACAGTTACATCTTTGCCAATTCAAATGAGGAGACATTGCTGCCAATCTAGTATTACACTTGAATTCATAAAGTCTACGTACCATACAGGAGAGTTCATCAGAACATTTATCATGAAATTTATATTATAGAAATATTTATAGAAAAGGTACAGGGAAGCTACATTAAGGGAAAGTGACTGAAGTTGAGATGCCAGGTCCAGATGAATGACATTGCAGATTCTTGTCTGGATTTTATCAAGAATCTCTAAATATATAACAGGAGCACCAGACCATATGTGGTAGCAATATTCTAAAAATGGTAGACTTGTAAATATTTAAGATAAATTTTGGCATGAAAATTGTCTAGCATAACACAGAGAACCAATTTTCCTAGCAGCAGGCCTAGCAATTGATTTGATATAGTCTTTCCACTTCATGTCAGCAGAAAATGTTAGGCCAAGAAACCACAAGTCACTCCCTCTTGGACATTAGCATTAGCCATGTTGATGGAAAGTGTTCTCTCAGGTAAGTAGTTTTGTTTATTTTTCTCTTATTACCATCTTAGTTAAAAGCAGGACTCCTTGGAAAATGTAAATCATCAGTTATTCATTTCTGCTCCAAATCGTAAAATAAAAAATGCAATAAAACTGACATTATTTACTTAGAAAAGCTTTTAATTGCTTTTATAAATAAGATATATTAAGAACACTACAGTCTTAAGAAACAATTTTTTTTTTTGATGAATGAATTTTTACAATAATTATTTTCATTTCTTTTTAATTTTAAGATAATTATTTATTAAGTTTCAAATTTTTAAATTTCTGTATTACTTTGTTCCCCTTAGGTCATATTGTTATTAAGTGAAAACTACATTTACTAATCAAAAATTGAAAGGCTTAATACAAATTATCACACACCAAGATTTTTAAAAGAATTTTGAATTCTTTTTATTAGTGTAAAAACATACCAATTTTTTAAGTACAGTTATACACAACATTATCTGAAAATATGAGCAATAATTATATTAAATTTAAAGCCCAAATTCCTAAAATGCAATAAAACATTAGATTATGGAGAATATTTATCTAAATTTTTAAGCTTACTGAGTACTTAAAAATTATTTAAAAACGGCACTTACATCAGTTTCTTCAATTAGGTTTTACTACAGATAAAGTCTCCATAGAAGAACATTAGCTATTATCAAACTGTCAAGAATGTCAACACAGCTACTATCAGGTTAAAAAATGTATTTCTGAGATATTTAAACACAAAGTAAATAATATTTGTTTCAAGTCAGATTAATTATACTTTAAATCAACTAATATTCCTCAAATAAAATTTCAGAAAAGTATATTTTATTTTTGGAAGATTTTTTAATAAAGAGAATGATATTGCAATGAAAGATGACTAAAAAAGGCACTAATCAGCTAGGGAAGCAAAAAAAAAAAACCACTCCTTCAAGTCAATTTAAATTAGTTTTTGAAATGTAGCAAAGTATTTTGCTTATTGAAAATATTAAATTTAATCAATTAGCTTGAAATTAAAGCTAAAATAAAAGCTTCAAGAAAGATTTTTCATTTTTAAAAATTTATTTTAAACCTTAGGTATCGTTTTTTTCTCTGATTTCTGTGGAGGTGCCTAATATATATGTATATGTATGTATGTATGTAAGGGTGTTCCAATAACTTGGACCGATTTTAAACTTAATTCACATTTAAAATCAATCCAAGTTATCGGAACACCCTTTGCGTGTATGTATATGTGTATGTATATATATATATATATATATATATATATATATACACACACACACACACACACAGATGGCAAAATTTTTCAAGCACCACAAGAAACCAGTAAGAAAACACAACCTAAAATCTACATGATTGCTCAAAATTAAAGATAATGGCTGAAACCATTAACATGAGACAAAACGTACTAGTTTGCAAGGCGCCAGAAACAGAAATGTGTCTCCAATCATTGCTTGATGCCAGCAATTGGGTCTTTGTCAAGACATATGATAATAGAATAACATAAAGGGAGGAATAATGTCTTGCTTTTTCATACTCCATTTCAGTGAGTATTTAACTCCATTCAAGAAAATTAGTAACAATATAGAATTTGATAAGAAAATAAAAGACATTTTTACCTTGACCAGACTTGAGATGTATCCCTCTGTTAACCATTGTTTCTCTTCTGAAGGCACATTTTGACTTTCTAAACATTTCTTATAGCAGGAAGCCAACTAGAAAAAAGAAGCAGCATATAGTGATTTTCCAAGCGTAGCTTAGATGTGGCACAAGGCCGAAATTAGGGGGTACCCAGTGAAGACCGAGCTCACTACTCAGTCATAATTGTAAAGCAGCATATAGATATGCTACAAAAAAATTAAAGCCAAGTCAAAATATATCTGTATATGGCCTTAGAGAACACAAAGAAAAGTAGATTATTCCAAGTCATGATAAAAGTTGTGAGAGTTTTACAAGTAAAAACAAACAGTTCTGATAAATGGCAAGTTCATTTGTAAAATAATTAGTTGCATTGTTAAACAAAATGGTAATTGTCTATGATGTGAGCTGTTCTAGTAAAACAAGATCTGAAGATATGTTAGCAGAAGTTATGTTTTATCTTGTAGAGAAGTGACATCAAAACTACCCCAGAATACATTACAACAGATCCAATGGCAGCAGGCTGCTTTTATTAAGGAGAACATTAAAAGTATAACCCCTTTTCATGCTGCCGACACTCGATGGTGTAACCACACTTAATGGTCTGGTCCCCAGGGTCTTAGGTCGACATGTTAACCATAGGGATAATCCCGTGCTGGTCAATACCAATGATGGTCCAAGCTGGCTATTGGTTGCTGGCCACTTCGATCCACTCCAACTCTACCCATGTTGGGTACTTGATCACAGAGTAGTGAAAGATCGAATTTCATCATAATTGAAGTGCTGAGTAAAACCATGGTGGGACCTACATTAAGGGAAGAAATATTTTCACAAATGAAAGATTCGTTTGGTCAATCTTCAATTGGTTTATGAAGCTCTTGGCACAACAAAAGTTGACCTTTCCCACATCAATCTCTATAGTGACAATGGGCCTCAGCAAAAATTCTGGGTGCTGGGTTCAAAGTTCTTCAGAGGCAGATCATGGCAGCAGACATGGATTCCAGAGGCACTGATGTGAGAATTTGCCGTGCAAGAATCCAAACTCTCAAATCTGTCTGCTTATATGCATTTTGGCTCATAACTGGCATGGGGCAAACAGGTTCTGGGGATTCGGTGATTCCCCAATTATCGCATTAATCCCAACATGGGTTCTTTGTCCCCTATTTCTGCTTTCTTAATCAACTTTCCAAACTTTGAGAATTATTCACCTTCCTTGGGTGTAGTTACAGGGATTACTCCTCCTCTAAACTCCAACTTACTTCACTTTACATCTCATACCATAACTCTATACAGGTAGTACTAAATTCTCCTTCTTCCTCCTACCTTCTTAGCATTCAACCATAGCCTACTTCCTTGGGCAGGCACAACTGTCTTTGTGATGAACCTAATTTTAAAAGAGAGTAGATGAAAATGAAGGGTTTTATTCTAGTCATTAATTTCAATTCTCTGGTTCCTTTCTATTGCCCTAGAATTATCACTGTCCAGTGAAAATATAAACCAGATCACTGGTTTGCTCGGAAAAGACAAGACTTGTTTTCAAAACTTCCATCCTAAAGTACATTCAATCCTTAAGAAGTAGAGATAAAATTATTTCCCAATTCTTTTTTGTCACATGTCAGATCCTTGATAGATAAAAAAAAAAAACTCTTGGGTGTATCATCCCAATTCATAAGGAATGAAAAACCCAGATGGCTCTTTTCAATTCCCATCATCAGGGAAACTGTCCTCCACTTTCTCTTTCAACTTATACTTAATATTAACCACTTCATAGCTTCAGTGTCACAAAAGAACAGGAATTAAGAAGGTAGAAGATAACGATTGACATTGCATTTCAATTTTTGAAGATCCAATTTAACTGGGAAGCAAGCCAGAAGAGAGAGGCATAAGCGAGAAATGCGAGAGAAGAAACTGTTAGCATAGAACTTACAGTTGTATCTAGCCATTTCAACTATAAAATGATGGAACCTTGTTGCCAATTTATTACTGCACTTAAATTCATAAAGTCTAGGTACCATAGAGGAAAGTTCAGAACAATTACCATGAAAGTATTTGTAGGCACAGGGAAGTTATGTTATTGCAGTGGGAATGTAACTGAAAAGGAGATGCCCAGTTAGGACCAGTAACATTGCAGATTCTTGTTTGGATTTTATCAAGAAACTCTAAATATATAGCAGGAACACCAGACCATATATACTTTTAAAATATGCTATATTTATGGGTAAAATTGCACTATATCAAATATAGAGTGTATGTGCTCAATATGAGAGATAGAAATTGAGGTCAACACCAAACAGCAAGTTTGTTTCATGCTTGAACAGGCCATGTATGTTGTGTTTTGGCTTGACTATTTATATACTTGTCAGTGGTGCATTATGGATACTAAGGTATGGTATTAACCAAAGAATTTGGTAGGTGATAACAGTTATGTTTCAAATTGTTCTAGAGGCTACTGAGTAGGAACAATTGTGGATCCACAGTTATTTGTAACTATTTTATAATTTACTTGTGTTTATGTGTGTATTCATGGTTTGTTAATTTGTTTGTTATTTACATACTTAATTTGTGTGTGCGTGTATATATATATATATATATATATATATATATAGTTTATGAAAAACTAGGTAATCTGTATGGGTAAACCCAAGGAGGATAAAATCCAGAGTAAATATATATATATATATATATATATATATATATATATATATATATATATAGGGGTCAGTATATTTTTATGCAAAATTATTTCCTACTATTCCAAATGTTTTTGTAGATACCTATGTTTGAGTAGATACCCTGTTTTTTGTTTTTTTTAAACAGTGTGAATGATGTCTACCAGTCTGCACATTCAAGAGACTTAATAAAGAAAATGTGGTCTCCAGAAGGGTTTGAACCTACAGCCCTCTTTATCATAGAAGCACATAGGATCATACAGTGTTTTTTCCTAAAAAGTGGGGCCACAAATTCATACCCTGGTCGTGAACATATTTTCTTTATTAAGTCTCTTGAATGTGCAGATCAATAGACATAATTCACACCATTTAAAAAAAAAAAAAAATAGGTATTTGCTCAAAAATGGGTATCCACAAAATAGTGTCAGTGTGTCACTGTGTCACACTTTTTCAATTAATGGGACACAACTCTCTAACTTACAATAACTCATGCTACAGAAACTTTGGATTCCCAAGTTTTCATTACTGCAATTGTTTTGGGCAATTTTTTGTACATGAATTTTTGTGACAAATTTTTTTGTATGATGACAATTTTTATAATTTGGAAATAAATATGGGAATAATCAAATTTAATTGTGAAATCCAGCAAAAGTCACCCATGAAATAAAAATAATTGTTTTTATGGAAAGTAAGGACCTACTCACATCAAATTGTCTTTAAATGGCATCGCAAGAACTATCATTTAACTTTTAAAAGCTAAGCTTAGATATTAATGCAATACTTAAATGCAGCAATAAATTTTGAGTTATTCTGTAATTTATTGTTGGCTATTGCATAGGCAGCAGTATACCTATCAAAAATAAATCTCTACCAATAGAGGATCAGACTACACTCAAAACAGCCAAGGTTGCAGCACAGAAAAAGTAAGTCACATGCAAATGAAAACCAGATCAAACAGCAACTAGGAGAGCTTCCAATGCTGTGAATATGCAAAGACTTAGAGACTATGGAACTTCTACTTAGTTGTATTGATGCTAGTTTGTGACCCTGGGTTTCACGTCCTTGTGATCTTCAGACAAACCTTATATATATATATATATATATATATATATATATATATATATTGCTAAAATGATAATTTGTGATTTATGCAAAATGTTCAGATGTTCTCCATTCATTAAATTGACCAGTTTACAGCCAGGACACACCATGCTACTTAGTCAAATCATCAAATCAGCTTCATTTCCTCTCATATAACAAATGGAAAAAGAAATTTTCAAACAGGATTTTTGCAAGAATTGACACTTTGTTGAACAGATTCACACATGGGTGCTTTCCTGAACACTTCAATTTTGACCTCTTCAAACCATGAATCAATTATTTGCTTCCCCACTTATCATCATAATCTTCACTTCATATGACCTTTTCTTCTCTTCACCTTATTCATCATTACCATTTCAAATGTAACCTTCTATCATGAAATGTCTCTCAAGCCTTGTATTGAATTTAGTATAAAAAATTATGTTTGCTCTTGTGCTTACCACATTTCCATGCATCTCTGACTGATCTTTGTCCTTCTCAAGTAGTTGTGACAATTCCTTTAAAGCAGTAATTCCTCTGTGTGAAGTTTCCCCAGTCACACTCATCAGCTTCTGATAAGCAGAGACAGCCTGTAAAGTGACAGAATTCAAATATTGTAACAAACATGGAGAGATGGTCTTCTCATTCTCTTTAATATTCATCAAAAGGATAGATTATAAAGAAGGGTATCAAGGACAAATTTATTGAGAATCAGTAGTAGGCTGGCCAGGATGTCAGCTTGCTCAAGTGGGCCCCCAATATCAAATAAAAATGCAATAAAGAAACAAATACAGTTTTAGTAATAAAAAGGAATAAGAACTTTATAAAGTCATCTGCACACTATCAGTTACTCAAGTTCAATTTGAGAGGACATTTTCAAAGCTAAAGATCACAAAGACAAGGTTAAGAAATTCTCTGAGGAAAATTTGGAATCAAACATGTTGTTAACCATTGAAAAAAAAACTGTTAGATGAATTGAATGCAGAGGCAATTATTCACAGATTCACACAAACACAAATGATTTCTCTTAATACAGTGGACTGCATGCAATGTTCTATTGTGCTTTTGAATTATGTTAATGTGTAAATTATGTAGTAAACTATTTAAAAATATCAACCAATTACTTAAAATTTAAATAAATAAAAATATTCAATTATATGTGTTAACATTTGGTATCTATTGCCATTAATATGTACAATACATGTACACTGTAATTACTTACACATTTTTTTCCACAAAAATCTTAATTGTACTATTTTTTTTTTATGTATTTTTTTAATTTTATTTATCTGTAATGAAAATTATATGAAAGTATTGTAGTTGTGGGTTTGTCCTCTACTCCACCTCTCACTCTAACACCTCCTAAAATCTTGTTTGATCATTTGGTCAAATTTTGGGAAGTAGGTCAGACAAATAACTTTTCAATTGCCCTCCCCCCTCATGAACAACCGTGGGGGGTGGTAAGAGAGAAAAAAATTTATGTTAGGTCAATCTCAAGTAGGTTAGGTCTGGTTGCTAAGAAAATCAGTATTCAAATTCCCTATTTTTTTTAGCTAAGCCTGAATACCAACTTCTGGTACTAGTGAGAAGGTATCTGTTTCAACCACAAGACACGTGTCTTATTTCAGGTCGTCATTAATCTTAACACATTTAGATATTTATAGATTTATACACAAAATAGAATTGCCCATTGAACTAAAAAGAGTGTGTTACAGCATTTCCTGATGTCTATGGTTTCTCAGCAAAACCCAATAATTTTTTTTTAAAAGATCCACTTTAAAAATAAGTTTGTGTTACATTCTAAATGATATGAGCATCAAAATTAACATTATGACTGCTGCTGTTAAACAAAAGATTTTATTATTAAACTCTTATTACATGAAATGAATTGTAAATCTATCTAGGGCAGAGTAAGCACCAAAAAGAGAAGAGAAACCATGAAGTTAGATTCCAGTTGCTGAAGTCAGGCATGCAGTTCTATTGAATGATATACAGAGTGCGATGGATAAATTGTTATCTAAATTAGGGAAAAATGAAAAGAACACTGTCATCTCATTTTAACAGATATATTTACCAAAATTACACAAAAATATCTTGAAATACTAAAGAGTAAATTTATTCAATAAAATTGCCATTGGCTTCAACCATGGCCGCCAGACAACATCAGAATCTCTTGCAACTCTTCTGAACTGTCTCTTTGTTTAAGTTAGTGAATGCTTCCATAATCATTGCCTTCAGTTCATCTTTGATGTTACAAGGAGTTTGTTGGCCACTCAACTTGACTGTGTTCCACACATAATAATCAAGGAGGTTGCAGTTTGAGAAGTTAGGTGGCCAGATATAAGGGGTGATGTGGTTACAGAAATTGTCTGATAGTCATGATTGGGTTCTCCTGCTAGTGTAGCATGGTGCAGAGTCCTGTTACCAGACATAGGGTCTTCCAGCAGCCACCCTCTTGATCCAGGTCATCAAGGCAGAACTACCTCCTCAAGGCATTTGATGTAGGCCTCCGTGTTGAGTCTGAGGACCCGTGGGAAGATGAATGGAGGCATAATGTTGCCATCAGTAGTGATCACTCGAAACACCATCATAATCACCATTAGACTCCTCCAACTATTTCCAAATCCTTTGCACTGTTCTCAAACTGACATCCAAACACTTTGAAATGTTCATATTGGAACTTTTGACACAAATGTCAAGCATGCCATTACCAAATTTTTGGGAGATTGAAATGCGTCATGGTGGTGTTTTTCTCACAGACAGTGCCCAACTAACCCTACTATAGTGTGCAGTTGACAAAATAAAAAAAACAAACAATGTGTATACATGAAATTGAAAATGTAAAATGGTGACAATTTACCCATCGCACCCTGTATATACTGTACAAGGTCAGTCTGTTAGGGAATTAAAAAGGCAGCATAACCAGTTAACAAGTATTTCAAAATGGCTGGATACATTCCGGACAGAGCTTGTACATAGTGACTCTTCTGTCATCAAGATTTTTTTGTTATTAATAAATTAATGTATAGAAATTTATATGAAAATAATCATAAAATTTGCTAATTCTTACCTGTTCAATAAATCCCATTTCCGAGGAGAGAGCAGCCAACTTTTGCAAAGTCTCAGAACGTTTTTCCTGATCACTAGAAAATGAAAAAAAAAAAAAAAAAAAAACTTACATAAAACATTTATAAACTTACGAGTCATACTGAAGGGGCACCTCGATGTGGTGTAATGGTTAGCAATAGTCTCACTAGAACAATTACAACTAGGTAGTGAGTTCAATCCTCACTGGGTTCCCCATACTTTCAGCCTGAGAAAATCACCATGAATCATGCTAAAAAAAAGTGATTAATTAAAAAAAAAAGTGATTAATGAAATATGCAATATTTAATCATTCAAGAAATTATGAATTTATATGTGCGTTTAAAACTCAGTAAATTTAAAAATAAGTTATTCCAAAATTCGCTTGAAGATGAAATGGAACTAATGATTTTAATGTAATTATATAATTAAATTTGAAGTTTTTAGCTTCGGTTTTTGAAACTTGGTTATTACTGCGTAGCAAAGAAACCATATTTTAAATCAGTTAATTTATAATATTTATGCTCTGTAAATTTACATTGAGCACTGTTTTGTAAAAATAAAAAGTATCAATAAGAACACCGGATTATATATCTTACTGTTCTTTCTTTTTATTATAAAATATATATATATATATATATATATATATATATATATATATATCTGATGGAACACTGAACACAAGAGCCACAAAAAAAGGGTCTAACATGCTTCAGCAAGGGATATTCAGAAAATAATCCTCTTGCTGATGGTAATAATTCGCATTAATAGTACAACTCTTTTAAGTGAACTTTCTCATAACCAGATTATTCTGTCAGACTTTATATATTTATTGGATAAAAAAAGATGCTTTTATATCTCAGGTATCTTAAAAATTGCATATATAAAAGCTCTCTTTAATTTGTAGTCATCAAATACTATATATATATATTAGAAAAATTAATAAAAAAGTGGAAAAAATATTTGTGACATGTTTCATCGTTTAAGACTTTATCAGACTACAGCAATGTTTTTGCTGATGCAATTATATATGTGTGGGAAGATGAGAGGAACTATATATATATATATATATATATATATATATATATGAGAGGAAGAGAGAAGGGGGAGCTGAAAAAGTAGGTATACTGTATACTCAGGAGATCAGTTGAATCCACTACCTTGGTTTCAACCTTACAGTATCCTCAGGAGATTTTTTATCAAAAAGCGTTAAGAGGTCATTTGATTAAAATCACCTGAGGATACCATAAAGTTGAAACCAACCTGAAGCAGCAGATTCAGAGGATTTTTAAAGTTAAAAGCTATACATGTTATTTTTACTTTTATTTTTTTCACATGGGTATTGAGCATTTTTAATACCAGTTTCCTGATCTGATTCAACTCTGACCATTAACCTTTATGTATTTTATATATATATATATATATATAAAACTTGCACCTGAAGATTATGAAAAACATGAAACTCCGGGTTCTGCAATCAACATAGAGTGTTGTGTGTGTGTGTGTGAGAGAGAGAGAGAGAGGGGAAAAATGGTTGTGGCTTGACAGCATCCAATGATGCTGACTGGTTCTTCCTTTTGGGTACATGCTGTTACTACTCAGACAGTAGGACTGACCCAATGAAACATCTTTCTCCATTTTAAAATTTTCATGCACAAATATTACTTGATATCATAAGTTATAAGATACAAATATTTAACTTGATATCATAAGTTTTGATAGATACAAATATTTAAGTAAATGCTCTGTTTATAATAAACAGTATTAAATAACATTTACCAGCCTGAATATCCAAGAAATTTTCATAGAAAATATTCATCCTCCGAATATTATTTAATACTGTTTATTATAAACAGAGCATTTACTTATAAATATTTGTATCTATAAAAAGAATGTTAAACATAAAAATGTCTTAAAATAATTGTCAGACTTTGTCTATTTTATAATATATATATATATATATATATAAAACAATGACTTGATACTAAAAAATTTTATTATAGCCTTAAATAGAACTGATGTAAGCATCTTAATGTTAAAAAAGGCAGAAAATATCTAAGAAACCTTCCGCCCAGCTCTTCATTAGGGATCAATTGTTGGTGAAAACAATTACTTTTTCAACAAGAAAAATGAAATGCACTTTTAGGGGACTAAATGAGAGAACAAACTGGAACACAATTAAAACATAAAATCAACATAAAATCAAATTTAAAAAATAAATTTAATTTGATTCAAGCAGGAAATTTTTCTCAAAATGATGACCATGCTGGACAAATCTAGCCAAAGAACATAATTTTAAAAAATAAAGCAAAAATATTAATATACAACACAATGTATCTGAAATTTTAATTTTTAACATTTTTATATATTCTCTCAGTGTATTTGATGGCATACTGAATAGGCAAAAATATGCTCGTTAAAAAAAAATAGTTAATATACAATAGTAAAAACTAAATACTAGTTTTATGAAAGACTTTATCTTTTCAAAGAAATCAAAATGAGTCTCAAACATTAAAGAGAAAAAAAAACATTAGATTTTTAAAATAATGCTAGAAATTTGGAGTATTTATTTAATAATCATTTCAACTTATCAGCATCTGACTTCTACAATTTTTTTCTAAAATAAACATGTCAGTAATTTGTCCCTATTTGTACACATTATAACATTTATAAATCTATCATTCATCTGTGCATCAAATATTGCTACCATATCTAGTCCTTTGCTCCTGCTGTATATCTCAAGATTTTTGACAAAATTCAAAGAAGAGTCTGTAATATAATTGATCCTGACTTAACATCTTGACTTTCCCACCAATGTAACATGGCTTCCCTCTCTCTCTTTTCTACAAATATTTTCATGGCAATTCTTCTGATGCCTCGACTGCATGAATTTAAGTGTGCTACTAAATTGACAACTAGGTATCACTGTTTTACTGTTGAACTAGCTATAGATGCAACTATCGGTTCTAGTCTAAGTTTCTTATCTTGCACAACTCAACTGTGGAACTCAATTCTGCTTCCTTGCTACTTAGAATATTTAAAATTTTAAATGCAACATTAATTGCCATCTTCTGTCTTCTTGAATCCTGTTCCTTGTCATTTTCCTCACTAAATTCTTTTCATTCTCTTTCACTCCCTGCAAGCTCCTGCATCCTACTGGCATTACTGCCTTGCTTGGAGTGAAACGATTAAAAAAAAAAAAAATTAAAATAAAATAACATAGTGGCAGGTAAGACAATGTTGTTTTTATTAATAAAGATGACAAGAGGTGGTGTCATCTTTAAAGAACAACGGACACTGGGAATTACTATAAAAATCTTTAATCACTGAAGATATTTACTTACTTTTCATAGAGTTCTTGTAGTTTGTTGTAAACTGACACAAGTTCTGTTTGGCTGTCTTCTGTTGGTTTCTTTTCATAAAAACTGCAGAGTCCCTTTAAAAATATATATATATATATACATATATTCAAATAAGGTCAGAGACATTTAGGAAAAAGCAAAGCAAAATAGAGGAAAGTTTTTGAAAATTTTGAGGATATACTTTTATAAACGTGATTAAAAACAGTGAAAATAAATAAATAAAAACTGCCTCAATAAAAAGTTTTGGTTTCAAACAATAATATAATGAGGTAGCAAATGTGTTCAACTGCTCAGTTCATAAATTGCTTAATTTTAGAGGAATAAGTGTCCATTATGGACTTATAGTAACATGTAGTGTGGGACCAAAAATGTACAATATATTCATCAGCTAATAACTGTTTTATGTCTTTTCTAGGTAAAAATTACCTGCAGAAAAAAGTGATACAATTTAGAAAGAGAACACTTTCGTTCATAAGATTTTAGTTCAAACTTCAGTTTCATTGATTCATTGCCTCACATATATTCCTAAAGTAATGTTCTGTCATTCTTTGGTACCAAGATGTCACTCTTGCCAAAGAATTACAACAAAAATACTGTGTACAAACTGTTATCACTTTTATTACCTGCCAAGCAAGGATCTGGTTGGGATTTGTCTCAATGGCTCGTTGGTAAGCTTTTATGGCTTGTTCTGGCTGGTCCATCTCTGCAGCAGCCACGGCAGCAAAAACCAGAGCATTGTAGTTGTTTTTGTCGAAACTCAGTACAGCCTGCAATAGAAATTCAAGACTTCAATAGTAAACCATAAATAATTTATTTTACCAAAAGTGTTTTTACATGAAAATTCATCTCTGTAAAAAAATCAACTTTTATTACAAGGTGTTCCCAAAATCTGGACACAAGAAATCTCATTAACTATATTTTCTTTACCTCCACAGATTAAATATGGTTTTGCCAAAAGAAGAAAGAAATGATTTTTTTTTTTTTTTTTGGATATGCTGAAGGAGAAGATGTACTCAATGAAAATCACAGATGCAACACACTTGATTGAACGCATAAAGAATGAATGTGCTGAAATTGACAGCAATGTAGAGGTATTGCATCAAGTTCATGTGAATCTTGCAAAACACATCAACCCTTGCATAAAAAATGATGGAAATCATATTGAAGATGCTATTTGTTAATATTCCAATTCAATAAAATGTTGAAAATTTTTTTTCTTGAAAAATATGCGTTTTTGCTGATGTGACACACCCTGTAGAATGCATTTAAAGTAAAGAAAGATTAAAGGATCCAATTAAATATACATTCTTGAAACTCAAATTGATAAATGGCCTCAGTTCAAACCTAAGAGGCACGTAATGCCCTTGTTTGTTCTTGGAAGCAATTTACAGAGGAACAGTCATCTAGAGATGAATAGGTTTTGAACAAAATTCTCTTCAACAATTGTTAAAATTTTATGCATTTTTTTTTTTATTATGCCCTACCAAAAATTAATATCTATAATTTTAAAGTACTGAAGCCTAAAAAAGAAAGATCTTCCTAGATTTTTTTTGTTAGTCTCAGCCATAACAACAAAACACTATTTATAGTGTTTTGTTGATAAAAAACAATTATGAGTTTAGGGAAATTACTGTGTAGGTATACAGAAGTAAATTATCTTCCTTTGGAGGGAGATAAATCACATAGGTCACGTGACAGCCGCTTAATGTTGGCACTCCCTACAGTAATGAAAGTGGCAATTAATTTCAGTTTGTTTACAGCAGCCAAATCAAGCAATTACTTTTTCAGTCTGGGCCAAGGGGTTACAGCTGAAGTAAAATCTGCCTCCCACAGCAGCTTACACACATGACACCATTCCCTTTGGGAATATATCTTTCCCAGATATAGAAAAAACTCCAGCTCACAATCCTCAATCCAGCCCATTTGAATCTGGAGTCCTAAATGTGGCTTCTCCAGAGGCATAGAAGAATTTCCATATTATATATAAGACCCTTTCTTTTTACTTCTCCCTACACTCTGCTTTGCCATGTAGATATATGTGATATATTTATTTCTGTGTGGGACATGTGTATATGTGTATATATAAGTGGTATAAAAGTCTCTCTGAGAACAAAGCATGTTTTTTGTTCCTTTCCCTTTCAGCTATTCCATTCTCTCAGTGAAATAGTATTATCATATCATGGATATAATAATGCCCATAACGGGGGAAATACAAATGGGGGAATAAGTCTCTCTCCTGTTGTAACTGTTTTTGTCAAGAGGTGAGATTCATTGATGTATTAGGTTTCTCATATGTTTTTGTCTAGTTTGTCGCTACTGTGTAATCAGTTTCAAGGGAATCATTTAATAATATAATAGATAGTGGCTCAGAAAGAGAAATCAGAGAGCTGAGTTCACATTCCGGTAGAGTTTGTTACATTCACTTATGCAAAAATACCCTTGGGAAAGGTATGACACCATCTCTTAAGGCAGACTCAGCTCTCTAGCTGTAGTTGGCAGTCTAGAAGGATAACACTGAATTTTCAGCCCTCATGCTGTGATAAAGATACCTTAGGCAAGATCTCTATTAGGTTTCAACCAAAGAGCTTCATCAAAGACAACTCATTGAACAACAGTTGTGCAAGGATCTATGTCACGTGATTATGTAACAATTGCATCTTTTTACACTATTACTTGTTGGTTTCAATCCTGCTAGGAATGACTGCAAAACACTTGCCCTCTCTCCATTTTATAGACAGAAGCACACAAATGCATGCTTAGATTTTTTCCTAGCCAATAAAATAGGTCAGATCTCAGTTTCATCTGACTCAGTCCCTGTCTGTCTTGAAGTCAGAATGCTACATTCACTTGTCCAAACTTGCTTTTGTGTGTCAACCCAAATTCTTAGTTTGTGAACATTTTGCCATATTCCTATTAATTTACCTTGCATATATTGTTTGCTTGCTTTATACTATTTTTTTCCCTGTTCTTTTCTTGTTATTGCTTACTGTAAACTTTGTCAATTCTGGCCACATTATTGTTCATTTTTATTTTTTCTAAGATTAGTTGAATTTGTCTATCAAATATGTGGTTGAGGAAATTATTGTTAATTAATACTTGTTTTTGAGTTTGTTATAAAATATTTTTGTGTGTAGAGGATATTAAGAGTGCTCACTTTATTAGATTATTTATAATAACTAATTTGTATCTGTGTGGCCATTCACTGTTGTCATGGAGTCATCATAAGTTTAAGTTGATTGATTTTTATAGACAGAGTTTTCAAAGTTTTCATTATTTGAATCAATTACATTGTCTAAAAAGAGAATTCTGTTATTTGAATGGAGTTATTTTAATTTTTAGTTAATATAAATATACTGTCAACATAGAGAGTGCCAATGGAGACTCAAGATCATCAATGTTTGTTGGGCTCATCACATTCTTTAACAAAATATACTTAGATGCTAAAATGATTCCTTTCCTCTAACTACAATATATCATTTTTAAAAATCTTTAGCTAGATATGTTTTTTTTAAATAACATGTGTGTTTGTATATATGTGTATGCGATAGTATGTTTATGTATCTCTTTGTCTGTGAATTTTACATTTATGATCAGTACTGCTGATATATTTCTTCAGCACTACCCCAGTCACACTCCTCACTCCAACCCTCCAGCCAATGAGTTAAGGCTGCCACTTTTTCTTTGATTTTTACCAACTTTAGTTCGGGATAAATTTAATTTGCCCTTTTTCAATTGATACATTAAGTACATACTTATACTGTATGGAATAAATTATTTAAAATGGACATTAGCCCAGTGGATTAAAGCTGAATGTGTAGTTTGTGAAATTGGTGAAATAATAAGTGCAAGTACAATCGCTGGATCTGGAAGTGTGTATTTGTCTTAGTAGAAATGGGGTGAGCAATAACTGAGCAGTATTAAATAAGAACTAGACGAGATATCCGAGAACAATCTACACTTGTAGATTAAATAAATGGTTCAGTTCAAAATTTCCTACAGGTTATCCCATTCAACATACATCCAATGAAGGCTAGAGAGTACAATGGCTGAAACAATGTGATGTCAACAACAAAGATGAGGACAATAGTTCCCCTGTAATTAATTTAAATAAAAAAAACCCTTAACAAAGAATTTTTGTGGAGTGAGTAGCCATTGTCAGATGCAAAGTATTAAGTAACAGAACTGTCCAACAAACATAACTGACATAGTTTGCAATAACAAGAAAAAGAAAAAAAAGCAACAGGGCAAAAAATAAGATAAAGCAAGCAAAAAATATATGCAAGGCAAATTAATAGTAATAAGACAACACAACATTAATATGGCCTTTTATATATATCTCTGAATCTTTTTGACAAAGAAAAAAACTAAATGTCTTTAATTAAATATTCATTGAGTTAACAGTCTTACCTTACAGTGTTTCAATGCTTCTTTGTGATCTTTGTTTTTAAGCGCTTCACGGGCAGCTTTTAATTTGCTTTTAATCTCTTTGCTATCCATCTGAAACAGAAATAAGAACAATACCTTTAAGGATTGACTTTCTGAAATATGAAAATTCACCAAGGATTAAATTGAGAAATTTATTTTACAAGTAACAGTTTCTATGATAAAATATTTTAGTAACTAAGTTATTCAAATTCATAAACTCAGTCTTATGTATTTTATCTTGTCATCCAAATCTTAAAATATTATTCCCAGAAATGTAGAGTTCTGGGTATGACAAACTACATCAGACAGCAAAGCCTCTGATTAAGAGTTTTGAGGAGCATGGAACCACCTCTTAATTACTGTTGTTCCAAGTTCATTCTGACCTGGGGTGGTAGCATCTGTTAGGGTCCTAGCTATGGGTAAATAGTGAACCCCAAACAAAAACAAAACATTATAAAAGTATAAAAATGCATTTTTATAGTGAAAAATACCAGCAATACATTCATATAGTAAAATTACCAACAATACCTATTTATAGCAAGATTACCAACAATACAATTTATAGTAGAATTACTAACAATACTATTTATAGTAGAATTACCAGCAATACATTTTATACTTAACTGAAGACATATATTTGCGTTCAAAATATATTTAGCTGAAGCCATATAATTGTGTTCAAAATATTTAGATTTTGACATTATTAAAAATATATATATATAGGCTGTAAAAGTAGGTATACAGTAAGTATTATGTTGATATTTGTATAATCAATGTTTTACTGTATACCTACTTTTGCATCCCATATATATATATATACAGAGAGAGAGAGAGAGAGATTGAGAGATGCCTTTATCACAATTATGCCCTTTATTGCATTTTTGTTTTCATAAAATATGACCTAACCTACCTACCACATTTATAGAAAAAAAAAGAAATTAATTTGATCACATTGATTCAAATTTCATTCTAACTTTGCACACAGATTATTGTAATAAAAATTTAAATATGTAATAGGAAATTCTATCACATTAACATAGTTACAAATAAGATTTGTTTTTACAAAAAACTGGAATTACTAAATAAAACTAATAGAAGATTTGGTGATATTTGTTTAAGTAGCCAACTTATCAAAATAAATTTGTCATCCTATAAATTGTATTTGAAAATCTGGAACATCACAGGTTAGACCATTACTGTCATATGAACGCATTCATTACATTTTTATCTTAAAAGAAATATCGACAATGTAATATAGCTATAAAATATATAATGGCCAACTAGCCAATCCTTGTTGCAAATACCTGCTAAGGGACATTTGTGTTTGTTCAACCCCCACACAGCCCACCTATTGTTTATACTGCAACTATGCTGATCAGACTTTAGTTACAGTTTCCTGAAGAGAGCACATAATCCGGAATGGTCAGCATTGAACATGTCTGATTTATCAGGAAGATGACTTCTTGATGTTTATTGATCTCAGTGTGCAGTAACTTTGGAAAGTGTCTGAAATCTACACTATGTGTTCACCCAAGCATTGAGAGTGAAATTAAGTTCACTGAACTGTTTGAAATCAATTGATGGTTGTGCTAGTGTGAAGTCACCAGTCATCATAACCAAGGGTTTGAACATGCTAGTATTGTTCAAATTGCTAATCATTTCAGCTTATGAAATATATAAGGGCTGACAGCCATATCATGTTAAAACATTGGTTCCTGTAGAATCACTGAAGTTAAGCAATGTTGAGCCTGGTCAATATCTAGATGGATGACTGCTTGGGAATACCAGGTTTTGTAAGTTTGGATTTACAGGTGGTGTAATGGATAATGGCTTGGAATTGTTAATTGGAGAGCCAAGTTTCAATTCCAGTTGGATTCATTATATTCACTTACATGCAAATACCCTTGGGAAAAGTATGAATCAACCTCTTCTCCCCCAAGCTATGGGTTAATTAGTAAGACAGTGTATCACTGAATCATTATTATCTCAAAAAAAAAAAAAAATTATTACAATCTAAAAATATTTCCTGGATTTACATAACTTGCAATGGGTTGATAAACTGTAAAAAATGAATCAATCAATCAATAAAATATATAGCATTAACAAATTAGTTGTTATGGAGTGGTTTCACAGTGGAGGCTTGTATTTGTACTAAGTCGGTCCTAAAATAGGTTCGACGTACAAAATGTTAGGAACTTGATATAATAGGTAATGATGCAGAGAAATCTAGTTATGGTCGCTGATACTTTAGTATCCAACTAACGGTCGTCCAGCATCGACTGACTGACCGAACCCCCTGAGCGACTCCTACTACTTATTATAGGAGGGAGAGTCTATTAACAATAGAATAGGTGTGTTCCACTATAACATTAGTAGTTTTTTCCTATGACTATTAAGTGCTATTAATAACATCATGATCATGATGATTGGCAATAAGACAATAAGGGGGAGTTGAATTCATGCCTTCTGTACATACAGTCAATCCTTTGCATCTATAAAACAAACAAATATAGAGCAAAATTAATTTTTTTTAAATTTCTAAAAAGTTCCAAAAGCAAAACTTGAATCTGCCACAGGTCAGTTTACTACACTAGATACATGATAAAAAAGATACAAATATATTCTACTGTAGCCTCTCATCATTTCACATATCTATCTCTAGTATTTTTCATTGTTTCTTACACACCTTATTTGTTCACTACTTGTGTGTCCCCTTTTGTCACTAAAACTTGTATAAAAAAAATGTCCTTGATAAGTACAGAACAAACTTTTTTTAAAATTATTAACAGTTGGTAGATTTTATTTAATTTTAAAATATATATATATAAAATTTATTTTTGTTTACCGGTAAACAAATGTTCCCCAATATGACTTTTCACAAATAGTCAATAGTATGCAGAAATAATTTTTAATTTTTCTCCAAGCTTCCTTGTTACTAATAGCATAAAAATTTCCACAATAAAATTTATTTTTATAAAATTTTTTGCATAAAAGTCTTTTTTTCTACTCTTAGGGATTGATGTCTTCTTTGTACCTACATTACAATAACTTACATTGCTCTAGGTATTATAAGTAAATTGGTTGATTGATTTAATTACAGCAGTGTTTACCTCTATTGTTGACTATAACTGCCTATTAAACAATGTCTCAGTTTTTCTGTCTCTATCCAAGATCTTTACAAAAATTGAACCAGTGATTGGTTTTCTGTCTTATCAACCCTTGGCAGGTTATTTAAAGTCAGAAAATATTTTTAGATTGTAAGATTTTTTTTTAATATAATAATGATACAAGTGTTACTAATTAATCCATAGCTGGGAGAATGAGATGGATTAATACCTTTCCCAAGGATATTTGAACTTAAGTGAATATAATGAACCCAATGGGAATTGGAACATGGCTCACCCATTAACAATTCCTAGCTATTATCCATTACACCACCCAAATATTCAAGCTTAAAGCACTATGAATTCCTAAGCAGTCACCCATCAAGGTACAGACCAAGATCAATGTTGCTTAACTTTGGTGATCATACAGGAACTGGTGTTTCAACATGATGTGGCCATAAGCTTAAATTGAGGATAATTTCAAGTATACCAACTTATGTGCATAGGTTATATACAAGGAGGTACTGAAAAGTTATTGGAGCAAGCAAGAAACACTTTCAGAAAAAAATAATGTTTGGTCAGATTTTGGGAAATGTGGCTCATGTAAAGAGCTTTTCAGCTCTGCCTCCTTTTCATTTTATTTATAAAGCTACTAACTATAAAAAATAAATATTTACAAATGTTTTACAAGTAATAATTAATGTTATTTTATTCAGGAATCAAAATTTGTGAGGCAACTGATTAACAGTCTTAATCTAAGTACAGGCTCTAAATATGTCTTCTTTCTTTATTAGATCCAAATTCATAAAAAGAGAAGGTGGCTTGGTCTTGCCAACACAGAATTTCAAGACTAACGTTCCTACCAATAAAACTTTTGAAGACATTAGTATAAGATACACATTTAATATCTTGTGTTAGCTTACTACATAATAACTTAATCATAATTATAACTTTGTAACTAAAGGTAATTTTCATTTTGTTAGTATGACAACATAATGTGTACTAATTAGGTTGTGCCATAATTAGAAAAAGAAAAGAATTCTAATATCATTAAAAGTGCTTAACTGTAATTCCATAAGATGCAAATTGAATAAAAGTGTAAAATAAATTTTGAGGAACCAAAAGTCATTTCAATTCATTTATGTCCCTTGACCCTCAACTCAGAATTACTTACAGGAAGCAGAATGTTTTTAGTTAAATACAAATCTATATCTTCTTAGTGGTCTTTACAAAAAATGTCATGTCCCTTTTGGGTGTAGGTGAACATGATGCTCCACAGATTCCTTTTTTTTTTTTTTTACTATGTGTGAATTGCTGTTCTTTCTTGGGAAAAAAAGATAAAGTGAAGTGGTTTCTCATTGCTTTCTCCACAGTTTTGATTTCAGTGTTTTTCCTTCTCTTAGACTGGTGACCACCCAAAGCTAGAGTTCAGTTGAATCTGCTATTTAATCCATAGCTAGTGGGGGAAAGGTGAATTGTACCTTTCCAAGGACATTTGTATAAAAATAAATGCAACTGACTAGGCATGAATTAAAACTTCTGTGTCATTAACAATTACACAATCCCATATATTTTTTTCTTAATAAATTCACCTCAAGCAAGGCAATAATTCCACTAAGACGCAAGGGGCTACTGAGAGCGAAAGAGAATGAGAAGACATTTTAAAAGGAACCATAAACCCAGTCCTAAATTGGAAACAAGGGATAAATCTGTACTACTGTTCAAAAGACTGGGAAGGAGTGTGAACAAGAAGACGATAGGTGAACATATCAACTCATCCTTGGCTTTTATATTGGTAATAAGGATTAAACAAATAATCATGTTACAGAACCGAGAATAAGAAAAGAAATCTTTTGGATGGGATAATTCATAATTCAGTTAGTTTAAGTTTTAGATAATTATAGCAAGTTAAACACAAATATAGATTTCAATATTGAAAGCCTTTCTTCTGATACCCATTTTTTAAAAAATTAATTCAACCCAAGCAAGGCAATAACGCCACTAAAATAAAATGAAAGAGAATGAACCGGATAATTGGCGAACCTATGTTATGTAAAACATAAATAAATAAATATATCATAGAAATCAAATACAATCTTTTTTTAAGTCTTTAATAATTTGCAAAACGCATATTCAGAAATTACGATTAAAAATGGAAAGATCATCTATTCAACAATTTTAAATGTTTGGTTTTTTTAAGATAAAAAAATTATCTGCTTACTACGAAAATAAAAATTGAAAAAGATTGGCGAGATCCCCAGAATAGCATATTATTCAGAATATGCAATAAAAATAAGATAATGTAAAAAACGAAACTTGTCACATGCAATTCAAATTATATGTAATGTAATTATTTGCAAAAAAAAAAAACGAAAAAAAAAAAGTATATTTTTGATCATTAAAAAATTGAATCAGAAACAGAACGAAAGTCCTATGACAATTTCAATTTCCATTATGTGCATTATAAAAAAAATTCATATTTCCAGACAGTGGGTAAGAATTTAACTTACGTATGGTTAAGAAAGAAAATGCAGATTGTCAGAATTCTTTACGCCCCCACCCAAAATCATGAATGAAAATAAAATCAATAGAAATGAAAATCAATCAATAAACAGTGCAATCACCAACTATTCGTTTCTAACCAATATTATCGTCGATACGATAACTTAATCTTATCGATAAAGATTTAAAAATTAAAAAATAATTGATCAATAATGAAAAAAAAAAGAAACTAAAAAAATAGTTGAATATGGACAAAAATAAATGCAAAAGAAAGTTAAAAAAAAAAAAGGGGGGGGACACTAAAATAAAATTGTATTGAAAACATATTTTTAAAAATTGGTAAAAAAAAATGAATCCTTGTGTTCAGTAGTTCAAACAGAAAATAAAACTTACTTTAAATTAAAATTATTAAATTTCAGTATTCTAAATCCTTTTGAGTTTTGACACTTGGATATCATAATTTACCGGAATAGAAAATAATCCATAATTATTTTTGTACAGTGAAAAAGAAAAAAAAATTAAAATACATGTTTGTTTGTGAACCCTTTAAGTTAAAACCGCCATATTTTTTAATATTATAAATTATTGTTGGTCATAGATTTAGGTCCTTATCTAGGGTTGGGGTTGTTTTATTTATTTTTGGTTTGGGGAATAAAATGTTTTACTTACGTAAATTAATAATGCTTTACAATAAAAGAAAAGAATCGGGAGCAACAAGGAGATAATTTATAATTGCCACGTGAGTAATAAATGTAAATTAAATTTTTTCCCCGAAAGAAAACGATCTTTTTGTTTCTTTCTTCAAATGAAAAATTGATTGAGTCAATCAAAATGCAAATAATGAACAAAGTTGAAAAAAAAATTGACAGTGATAAAGAATAAGATTTTAAATGGGTGTAAAAAAAAAAAATAACCTATGATCTTTCGTAAAAAAAATCAAAATATTTTTCTATAATTTTCCCTAAAATAAAGTAATGAATGAAGACATTGGAATAGATTTCGGAAAATAGAATCGGTTCGAAGATAATTTTTATTGAGTGCAACACAAAGAAATCCAATATTTAAAATTAAAATAAAATAAAAAGTTAAAAACTTAAAAATTAAAAAGTATTTCTTGTCAGCGGATGAATAAGTAAAAAAAAGATGGTTTCGGTTTGTTTTTTAAACCAAGAATAAAAAATTATATATCAAGGTTAAAAATTAAAAAAATAGTAAACTATAAAGTGGTGTAAAATATCAAATAATAGATTTAAAAAGCCATTTATTGTAGAAATAACCAGAAACCGGCAAATCATTTATCATTTAAGGGAATGTAAACAAGTCAGCAAGCAAATTATTTCTGTACTGTAAACTTTGACAAAACAAGGACTCCACAGATTTTATACTTACAGTGAATAGCTTAAATTCAATTATTAGTATATAGAATTTTCCCTCTTAACGTGTTAATTTTGTTAGTAGTTATTAAGGTATTTATCGAATCCAATCGAGTTTTCGTTTGTTTTTGATTTCTTTTCTAAAATACACGCGTCAACGAAGAAAGAAAAAGCAGCCGGCAGATTACTTTCCGGAAGTAAGCCCGAGTTAATTGCCCTTGTTTGTGAATATCGGAAGCTTTCACGAGTTACGGCCCTTGCCAATCATGTTGCGGTTGCTACTGTTCAAAACAAACAAGGAAAATTACGGATAAACAGAAGGGCAATTACACTACTAAAACCGTTTTTATTGAATTTACAGTCCCCAGCAGCGTATTTTTATTAATTTAAAAATTAGTTTACATTTTTTAATCTATAAAACTTCTAATCTATAAAAATTCAATTTGAATCTTTTCAATTCTTTAATAAAATAATTTAATTAAAATTTAATTATTCTGTTTAATTGAACAATAAAATAAATTTTTACTGAAAAATTAGTTAATAAATTAAATGATAAAAGTAAAAAAATTGAATCGAAAATAAATAAACTATAATTTAATCAGTATTTATTGCTAGGATTTGATAGAACCCCTTTTTGTCTCGTTTTTAAGGAGACACGGTGGGTGGAGTAATGCAAACGGCTCAGAGAGCAGAGTTCGAATTCCAGTCGAATCCATTGTATTCAAGTGCTACTACCCTTGGGAAAGGTGTGAATCTTCTTCTTCTCCACTCAGATATGGGTAAAGGACAGCAGAAAGAAATGGCAACCTACTACGGGGAAAAAAAATCTGCCTTGTCAGTCATGTATAGAAAGATACATGATCGCCTACTCATGGCAAATAACTGACTGATGCTCCTTAAGGTTAGGGATCTATCGTAGGTGGATTCAAGGCTTGTACTTATTTTCAACAAAATTGTGCCTAGTCTGACTTGTGAGAAACATTTTTTTTTGAAAAAAATTAGTATATACCGAGCCTACACACTAAGGCAGAGTGTATCATAAAAAGTTCTTTTTAATGTGGGATAATGCGTATGGTCAAGGAGAAAAATGCCCGCGACCAGTGTCAAGCCGACCTCACATATCTTCGCGAAATAAAACAGGTGCGTAACGTCTATAATTGGTGGACAAAGTCGCCATTGATAGAATTAAAAAAAAAAAAGAATCAAAAAGCCTAACTATTTGGTCTAAAGGAAGAGAAAACTTAAACTATTTGGCATAGTAAAGATCCTTATAGTCAGACAGGTATCATGCCGTGTGCGTAACAAATTGGACGGTGGCATGTCTCAGGCATCACCGCCTGAGTACCCGATTCATCATGTGGTTAAAGAACCAGAAGGATCGATTTATATTGGACACCGTTTACTCTATATATAATATTAATAGTAACACTGCTCAAGGCTTACTTCATTTGCATAATTGAACTTTTTTCTGCTTAATTTAAAAATAACTACGAATTATTTTAGAAAAAAAAAAAGAGTTTCTTATTAAGCACTATATAAGAATAATTTTTGTCTTATTTTCAAGAACAATATCATAATATTTTTTTCGGACAAAGAATTTATTCCCAGTTCTAGTGCTGTTATTTACATTTAAAAAGTAAAATGATGGTTAACGCAAACTGTCAAAAAGAAAAGTAATCTCACCGAAGAGTTACACTACATATTAAAAAAATCGTAGAATGGAAATGTCGTGATATCGCGTGAATGTGAATAAAATCAAACTAATAGATTCGATTATCCACCAATATATATATATATATATATATATATATATATATATATATATATATATATATTATATATATATATATATATATATATATATATATATATATATATATATATATATATATATATATATATATATATATATATATATATATATATATATATACATACATGTTTATGTTCTTGAATTCTTGAAAGGAATATAACACAAAATTGAGGTTAAAGTGGGATTCGTACGCGCACATGGATCTCTAGAGATAAATTACTCAATCTTTCTCTGGCAATTGTTAGAGAACTATAGCCGGGATTTATTTTGTAAAAATACAAAATTGTGGCACAAGGCCGAAAAGGGGGAGGGGGTGGGGGTAAAAGGCTGGTCTTCACTATAACCCATTCCCTGGTGTTACGACTCCCTTCACGGGGCTGAACACATTATACTGCTCTTATTCTCGAGTTAATACAGAAGTGTTGTGGGAGAGTTATAACTCTGAGCAAATAATTATTAACCTCCCCACCCCACTAACGTTTACTTGTAAAATGAGGATTAGCAAGAAATAGAAACACCAAAACGAGTATTATTTATTATCTGGTTGTTGCGTGGAGTTGGAGATACAAGGCACAGTAATACTGAGTAAAATTGTAAGTTTACAGTTAAAAATGTCGACCAAATATAGATTGGATACCGACAGAATGATATGATAAAGAATAAGTAAAGTGTACAGTCTATCTCCTATATATTTTTGTTGTTGTTGTTTTTTTAGATGTGCATAATAAGTGTCTAGATAATTTAATTGGAAAATACAAGAAGTGTCTGGAGGTTTTCTTACCTCATATTTTTGTTGAGTACTAAAATATAAATGTTATTATTATGACTGAAAAATTAAAAGGAGCCGAAATTTAAGTTGACGCACGTGTTGACTGCTTGTCTGATAATATTTAACACCCACCCCCGGGCAAGGGATGTATGTGGCACAAGGCCGAGTTTACCGTGGGTTCTCCGAGCCCGTAGGCTCGGCCCAAAATATTCCCTTAAAACCCGCATAAACCGGTTCAAGGCCTGTCTACCGCCCCGGACGAAACTTTGCCCTTCGGCAAAACCTCGTCCAGGTCAAGGCAGAGAGTTCGACAGTTGAACACTCTATGCGACTGTTCCTGACTGCTTGTCTGATAGTGATAATAATATCACGTGTTTATGTGTGTAGAGGAAAAAAGTTGGGTCGATTCTCATTGGTTTAGAATGAATGATTTATTGATAATTATAATTGTTATAATTATTTTTTTATCTTATAATTAAATTTTTTATGAAGACGAGAAAGTGACAGTATAAAGAATAATGAACAAATATTTAAGGGGCAGATAGGGATAGAAAGATGTAAATATTACAACATATTAAACATTTTTATGGAAAAATAGAGTAAAAAAAAGGTAAAAGAGAGAATACAGTTGAAAATATTTGTGCATTCCTCATTTCTGTTACAAATATATCCACGTTGTTGTAAGATCTAGATAAAATATGAACACAATGAAGAATAAAAGGTATAAGGGAGGGGGTTGTGAAGATACTTGTAAAGGATGAGAAAGCACAAGCAAAATTTAATAAATCTTTGTCAATACCAGTGGAATTTCGACAAGTCCAGTTAACTGCTTATAAACATCTAACAAAAAAGATATTTTACAACAATATATAGATTTGATAAATATTATCCAAATTTCCTCAAGTTGTTCAAAATAGTTTTCTTCTTCAGATTTAAAAAAAAAAATCATTTCACCCCAAGCGAGACGATAATGTCATTAACATACCAGGGTTTATTGAGAGTAAAAGAGAATGAGAAGACTTTAGTGGGGAGGAAATGCAATAAAAGGACAGAATTCAGGAAAGCAGGAGATGGCGACTGATGTTGCATTTAATTTTTTTGAAGATCGTAGTTGGCGAGGAAGCAAGAAATCGAGAAAGTGCGAGAAAAAAACTATTAGATTTGTACTTACGGTTTAATATCGCTATTTCAACAGTAAGATGAAACAACCTAGTAACCAATCTAGTAGTACGCGGTTGAGGTCATAAAAATTTAATTTTTATTATTTGAAAAGTTTTATAATCGTCTCTAAGTGTATAATCATCTACGTTGTTTTTTGTTTTTTTTTATTTAATACGTTTTTTTTTATGAAGGTCAGATGGTTCGTGTAAAAATTATTGCATTTTTACGGCCTTTTTGGCTCAAGCAGTTGATACCTCCAAAATTATTTTCATTTGTTGAGAATTCATTTTTTGAATTCATGGAGTGGGAAGGTTTCTGTTTACTGGCAAGTGAGAAAGGAACATTCCTTTCTGTGACATCCTGAGAAGAATTTAAACCGAATGAACAATCAAGTTAATTTTGCAGCAAAATACTTTTAAAAAGACCTCGAGAAAACAACCTGTGAAAACACGAAACACCTTCGAGCTGAAACATCCCGTTTGAGTATTCAGTTAAAAGCTGAGGTGGATACATTTTGTATTTTCTGCTTTATGCAATACTTTCCCTTTTTTTTTCTTCCATTTTTAAAGGGTGTAATCTTTTTGTCTTCGATTCCGTGTCTTTTCTTAAAAATTGTAACACTTTTCCCGTATATCTGATGATAATCCCCTGTTTGTAACTCCAGAAAATTGTTATCCTGCCATAACAGTCGCACAAAAGGAACTTTTTGTGCAACCTTTGTATTTGTACCTTTTTTTTTTTTTTTTTTTTTTTCGTAATATTGTAAAATAAATGTTTTTCCTTTTGAAATTTTACGCAGCGGTTGTCATGTTTTATAATTTTACGCCTATTATTATATCATGATATTTCTACTAAGTTTTGTGCCTGGCACAAGAAACTTCGATTTGGTAGGAAATAAAAGTTTGATTAAGGTACCAAAGAGGAGAGGTTTTTATAACAATTGCCATGAAAATATTTATAGAAAAGACAGGGGAGAGCCACATCACGGCTGTGGAAAATGACTAAAATCGAGATGCCAGATCAGGACCGATTAAATTATAGACTCTTCTTTGGTTTTTGTCGAGAATCTCGAGAGAGATATAGCAGGCGTACCAGACCACTTATGGTAGCAATATTCAATGCACGGGCGAATTGTAAATTCATAAACGTACAAGATGCATTCTGACGATAAAAATGTCTGCCAAGACACAGTAAACCAACTTCCCTAGTGGCAGGCCTAGCAATTGATTCAACATAATCGTTCCACTTCATATCAGTGGAAAACGTGAAACTAAGAAAGCGCAATGAGTTGCTCTCCTGTTAGATAGCATCGGCCATGTTGATGAAAAGCAAAATGGCTCTCTATGATGATTAAAAGATAGTAGTTTTGTTTTGGAGGTGTTAAAATGTAAAAGCCATTTCTTGGTCTAGTTAACAATTAATCGTCGGTCATTTTCGAGAGCAGCTGTCAATTTTACTTTCTCGGGCCTATCTGACTTTCTATTAAGACGGGATTAAATAATTGTGCCATCAATATAAATACATAGTTGATAACTGATGACATCGGGAAGGCCATTGATGAATATAAGAAGCAACATAGGTTCAAAGATAGAGCCTTGGGGAATTCCCGCATTCCTGTATGGCCGTTCAACACGAATTTCATTACACGATTTGTTTAAAATAAGAGATTCTATTTGGCGAGAGATACCATAGTCCTTGAGCTTGTGAAGAAAACCAGTATGCCAAACTCTGTCAAACGTCTTCTTCGAGATATGTAAAGGCACAGCCCGAGCCTCATCATTCTTATCTAAAGTTTGATAGGAAACAAAAGCCATGTAAATATAGATGTATAAATTTATCAAATCTTACTGAAATAAAAATTGGAAAATAATATATAAGAAATTATTTTAAGTGATCACAACTTTGCTTTCATTTTTGTGGTCTTCAGGAACTGAATATCATAAATTTTTAAAGAACTGCTTGAAATGATGAAAAAATAGAGAATTAGTCTAATAATAATAATAATAATTCAATAAAACCTATTGAAATATGTAACATTGTAGAGTTCAATGTATATCAAGGTAAGTAGAATTTTGTCAAGAAACTTCTCATCAGGTAGCGAGAGCGACAATATCATAAATTCAGTAACTAAAATAAAGCTCAAATACTTATCTAGGGCCGACTTCAAAGTTTTTTTTGGATATACCCCTCATCAAGTTCAGATAAAACTATTGTATCTGTTAATAATACAATAATTTTATCTGACTCTGGTTATGAGCATATTCGCGAAACTTCAAATTTGGTTCATTGATTTATTGATGAATTAATTAGCTGCATATATATATATGTGCATACACCAGCTGTTGCAAAAACAACCTAATTGCTTTCAACAAAGCCTTTATCAGCTGATGGCCATGGAATCAGTCATAATTGTAGATCTTCAGTATAATTAATCCAGGACGCACCAACAGTACTCCACGATATCACTAGTCTGTTGTTTTCCCACCATAATGCATAAAACGGACCAAAAATGTTATAAATATCTTATCGAAAAACATGCAATAAATCAATGTTTCAGAAGTGCAAACTTCCTTATATAAACGAAGCGG